ATAGTTTCTGAAATATAATACTAAAAGCATTAAAATATTTAAATATATCACATAAGTAATGGAAAGAAGTTGTGATGAGATATATTTTCTTAACTATTTTAAATAGAAGTTTATATTGCAAATATCTCGATTTATATGGAAGAGGCCTATATTTTTTATCAGTATATATATATATGCTATAGCCATAGTTTTCGGCAAGGTAATGCGGCACAAGTTGAGTGGGTGGTGGCCAGGTGGTTGTATAGTTGGTGCTTCTTCACCTGTCCGCCGCTCGCGATGAGTGCCACTCGAGGAGCTGCCGAGCTGAGCCAGCGAGCTCAGGGATATGCATATATCCAGATATGAGAGTGTGCCTCAGCACCGGCTTCTACATCTGCATCTGTATCTCTGTATCCTTGTATCTGTGGCACTGTTGCTTCGAATCGCTTTTTAAAAACGCAGTAATATACACACACACACACACTGAGAAAGAGAGTCCTGGGCTGGGACATACACACACACATACTTAACTCGACGTTTTTCACTCAACGAGCTTTTTACATAACAGCCAACAAAAGTGCAGAAGTGCAACACCAACAACAATGGCCTGCATTCCACCTGCTTCCTCAACGCAAAAGTTGGCCCAACATCAGAATGGAATGTGGTTCATTTGGGGCATAGAGAGCCAGGCCAGGCCAGACCAGCTCCTCCTTGGAGCGGCAGTGTTCAGTAGCGAAATAAATAGTATATTTTACCCGAGTGCCACTCATGAAAATTGCAAAAAAACAACAAGTACAGGCCGGGTCGAGTCCCGTGTGTGGGTCTCCGAATGTATGTGTATGTTACACTGAGCGGAAATGGGAGTATTTCTTTGGGAGAGGAAATGTATAGCATAATTTAAAAAGGTTTTCCCGATTGAGAGCAAGGTGAAAACTTTAAGCAACCATAATTTCTTACTATTACTTTTCAGGGTATTCTCAATTTAGTCAGAAGAATAAAACAACGTGTAGGAGTCATTTCCGACCCTATAAATCATATATATTCTTGATCAGCATGAAAAACTGAATCGATCTGGCCATCTTTGAGGGAACATTTTTTTTTCGATTTTTTAAATATTTTTTTAAGGGGTTACATCGTTAAAATTGTCAAAAATTCGACGAAAAATTTAAGTTTATAAAATTTTATATTAAGTAAGCAGATTTATTAACCTCAGAAAAACTAACATAGGAAAGCTTTCCGATTTGAAATTAACGGCTTTTTGCCTTAGTTATGGGTTTTTTAAACTTTGATTTTTTTGAAAAATTTGTCATATTTTAAGTTATGATCGATTTCCGGAATAGATCTTTTAATTCAAGCATTCAGCATTATAATATCAATATTCTATATGTTGACTTAAGTAATGAATAGTAATACAGTATTCCTCTGAATATATCTCTATTTTCTACCATCTTTAGAACTTCCTCATTAATAGACCCGAAATTCTCCGTATTTCCCAATAAACTTGTCTCGAAAAAAATCCTAAAACATACCCACTATTTTTTCGAGTGTATTTCCTGTGCCTACTGCTTTTGCCGAGTGCCAGTCAAATATGAATTGGTAGTTGGCCTGGCCTGCTGCTCGCTCTGACTCTTGCAGCATAATAACAAGAAGTTATTGTGCCACTGTCTACATGCAACTGCAGCAGCAAATGCAACACAAAGCCGGCCACTCCGTTGCTCCGCCCTTTTGACCCTTAACCCTCTCTCCCTCCTCTTAACCCATTGTTTTCGGCCAAACGCTGCTGCTGCTGCTGCAGCGCGCTGGTGCAGCAATTTCAGGGAATTCAGGTGGCCTCCAGTGAGCGGGAAAACGGAGAAAAATGAAGCCTAATTACGGCTCATGTTTAGCCGCTCCTCCATTCAATTAAATGGAATGCACGTGCCCCAAACCCCAGAGAACCCCAGGGAACTAGAATCCCAAAAGCCATGGCTAACTCAGTGCAGCCCGAAAAGCCAACAGAAACGTAAAATAAACCACAAAAAAATGCAATAATCATGGCGCACAATGTATGTATGCTCGGGGAGCATTTCATAAATTGCCCGGACTGTATAGAGCGGACTGTATATGTGTGTGTGATGCATTTGGGAGCCGCAGATTCTGCTGCTCTCGCAAATGTTTAATTAAAAATTAAAGCAGCTACACAACAACTACAACTACAACTACATACTACTGTTTGCCCGCGTTCTGTTTGCCTTTGAGCTGCAGCGCCTGGAAACAAAATGCAATTCGTTTTAGTTTTTGGGCAAAAACCTCCTTACACACACCCCCTTTGCTTTTTTTTATTACTGCAGCAGTAAGTTATATATACTTATATATATTTAACACTTTTTCATTTATTATTTGTATCTATGTAAGCATTTGACACTGGATTTCTTTCGGTTGGTAAAACTTGTAAGAGTTCTTTAAATGCCCTTGCCAAATTTTTGGCGGAATTTATTGTTATAAATAAATAGGAGTTTTAGCAATAAAGGTGTGAAATTTGTTTAGTAAAAATAATTAAAGTATATAAGTAACAATCTATAGACATTGAAATACCTAAGCATTTCATGAAATCATTATAAACTAGAAATTGGTATTATTTAGGCTATAAATAACCTAAAAAGCAACATAAAAGTAAAGAAAGACTGTTATTAAAATTTCTATTATATATTGCTTTAATTTATAAAATGCTTGCTAGTTTTTAGTTAATTTTTATGTAGAAAATATCGCCAAACAAAAATTAATACAAAATACTAAAGAATAAATTAGAGTCACCTAAAAACGACTTACACCTTTTATTGTTTGCTTCTAAATGTACCAAAAATAATCTTGTAAAATTCATTAAATAAATAAAAATTATCTTATCTTATTATTATTTCTTTGTTAATTTTTCAAACAATCTCTTAATCCTTTCCTAATTTAATATACAACCAAAATAATCTTCTTATGTTGTTAACTTTTAATAAAATGCTAACATAAAGAACATCTAAACTTGTGGAAATTGAACCAAAAATGTTTAAGGAAATCCCTCGCAGATTTTTATATCCAACTTGCCAGAAAAATACTATTTTTTCTCTGAAATAAAACTCTTATTTTTTTCCCTCAACCTGACCCTAGAAAATATCATTAGCTACTTTTCCGTAAAGGGTATAAAACAGAAAGAAAAGTGTCAAGGCCTGCAATGGCAGCCACTTAGCAGCCAATAAATTGTAATTCGACGCCCCCAGACGACGACACATGCAGTGTCGCTCACTCCTTTTCGCTGTGCAAATGGAAAATTAATTTCCAACGATTTCGTTTGTCGACGGCTTCGCTACGACTTGGTGCCGCTTTTCCTTATTCCTTATTTTCTTGAAGCTGCCAGGCAAGAGTGTCGCTTTCCACTCTTTATATATATTATATATATATATATATTATATAGCTCGTAGCTTCATTTATTTTGTTTTATTCGGAGAGCGGATCGCATGCCACGCCCCCGCTGCCAGCATACAAGTGGCAAATAAATTCATTAGTGGCGCAAATTAGTCGCATGCAACGGAGCGGAGCGGGTCGGGTTTCCAGGCTCCGGGGTTCCCCTGCCCGAGCCGAGAGAGTCAGGGCAAAAAGGACACAAAAGTGCTTTCAATTTCAATTAAATTCGCCACTTCGCCCGGGATCCTTCTGCGTCCTTGGCCCAACCCCCCGGAAAGTGCAGCTGCAGCGTGCAACTTGCAGCTCGTGTGATTCCCACTCATTGTCCGCCTGCTGACTCAGGGGCACATTTAAAGCTCGTTTAAGCGTCCGTTCCGCTTCATCTCCTGGCCTTATCCGTATCCTGGTAGCCCTGATTAAGTAATCAAAGCATTTGTCAGCCACTTAATCTATCGTCAGCCACTTGGCCAACGCTGCGTATGCGTAACTTGGCCTCAAACAATACGAGAAAAGAGTCGAACGAGCTGTGATTGCCCAAGGAAAATACAAGAAAATGCTTAAGTCCGGTTACTAATTGGATTAAACGGTGTCCTTTAAGGTTTTAACAAGATTATTGTGACTTTAAAAAGAAGGTTAAGTAAAATAATAGTAAAAGTAAGGGATATTTTATTAAAAATTTGTATGGTTACAATGAACTTGATCTTAATCAGATTTCCCTCATTAAATTTACCAACTTTCTGTGAAATAAAAATAGCTACTCTCTTGTAAAAGATGTTAGTCAATTGTTAGGAACAACTGCTCAGCAAATTGGCTCAAATTCGTGTGTGTGTTTTGGCCAACTCCAGAGGCCCGAAACGGTTTTGTTGGCAATCAGCGGCACCTAGCGACATGCGAGGGCGGCCAACAATCAACAGGGATGTTATAAACATGTGTCATCCCTCAGAGCAAAAAGAGAGCACAGTCAGCACCCCCTAAGAACCACCCCTCCGCACACACACACGCACACACCCACTTCCGGCTCCGTGTTTCCGTGTGACCCCGAGCAAAACAAGCAAAAAACATTGCAAAAATGTTTTATATATATATATAAAACCCGAAAATATGTTGCAGAAATATGTCGGGTACGAGTCATGCGTGCCTTCTGCTGTTAAATGTACTTTAAAAATCACTTAACGCGTTTAGCATTGATTTTTCTAGGCCGTTTTATCTCCTTACGCCATATTTATTTTGCATATTTTCATCAGGGATTATGATGGCTGCACCCTAAGCATTTCCCCCATTTCTGCCATCTTCCAATTTCCCATTTCCCATTGCCATTTCATTTCCCTCATACGACAAAAGGCGGGAGCGGCTTTGAGCCGTGAGTGAAACCATTAGAAAACTGATATTAAATTCAATTCAATTTGGCGGAATTTCTGCTGCTTTTTTGTTTTTATATATGTATAGCAAAATGAAATTTCAAATTTTAATGAGCAATCAACAGAAAAGAAAAAACCGGAAAATAATAAACGTAAATGGAACCCACGCAGGATACACCGGCGATGCGATGAAGCGCAGAGAACACTGAAAAACAAAGCAAACAAAGCCCCAAATGCTTAGAGTAAATTCAAATTTAATTAGGATTCTTTTTTTTTATATCATTCTGGGGACCCCAAAAGGACGAGGGGGCGGAACCACGCCCCAGTGGACTTAATGTAAATGAAAATTGACGCAAGGCAAGTTTATTAAAATGCGATTTGCATAAGCATATGGAAGGAGCGAAGGTGAGAGAGCAATGAATGTATTTCAAGGGACAGAGGACACTCGCTGGAGCTCCGGAATGAAAAGTGGCAATGAAAATGTCACAAAAGTCAAACTGGTCGCATTAATTTTCTCTCATTTTTCAGTTCCCACCACCCCTCCACACCTCCCTGCACACTCGCATTGGAAAACCCAATTAAAAGTGGCCCAAAGTGGAACTCGTCCATCTCAACAGGTGACATTAAAGGAGTCCATTCGCTAAGGTAACCAGGTGAGCAGGTGGTTTAAAATATAATTCAATTTGGTTAATAAAATGGTAAGCACAGCACTGCCAGACTTATTTTTAGATTAAGTTAAGATAATGTTTTATATAAATCAAGTAAAAAGATAAGTTATTCAAGGAAAATTTTAATTAACATTCGCCAAATATCTCTTTAAATATATTTTAAAATATTCTGTACACATACAAGTAACATATATCTAAAATATCTAATTTTATATATTCTTTATTATTCTACAACAATTCTAGAGTATTACTTGTATTATTTACTTAATTATTATATTTCATTTTTAGTGAATCATTAAAGAGCATCTCGGAAAACTCATCTTCCCAAATTCAGCTTATTTTGGTTTCTTTTTAATTTTGTCGTTTTTTTTTTGGGAATAAATTACTAAAGTTTTGCATCTTATTTTCTACAAAAGTCCCAATGCCTTGACTTAAGCTCTCAATGAAAGCGGCCAGACAATAGAAAATTATTATTGCAGGAGAGCTCTAGGAATTCCTAGGAAATCTTGCTTGCCACAAAAGGGAATCAACTCAATTCATGTCAATTTTCCACACTCCCACACACACACACACACAGGTTTTCCGATGAAAAACGTTGAGGGGAAAGCTGGGAATAAAAGTTCGATAAAAATTAAATAGCGAGCCACACACACACATGCAATGATGATGGCATGCAATCAATGCACTTTTTTAATTGCTTAGCGATGGGAAATGCATCCTTTTGCTGGCTGCCTGCTTCCGGTATCAGTTTTTGAGTCCTTGCGGCTGCCAATTGATGTGGCCAAAAAGACGGCGTAATTGACGTTGATCCACCTAACAAAGAATCACTTTCCACTCTCTCTCTCTGCCCAGGAGCAAGTAAGGCACACAAATTGAAAATTGTTGTCATCGTAAATTGAGAATAATTATTTTTAATTGTATGCAGTGTGTGCGAGTGCGGTAAGCGAATTGCATGTGAAATGTACAAGTGCCTCACGGCAGTTGGGGCTTTTTTTATGTTTTTTTGGGCCTACCCATTAAGTATACGCCACGTGGAACGCACTTGGAAAAATCATATGAATATCTAGTGACTCTTTAGGGGTTTCGATTTAGATTTAGATTATGTTTCATAAGATTAGTTTTTATTGTAGGTTTCTTAATAGTTTTATTTATAATTTCTTAGTTTTTAGCATAAGGCAAGAATAACACAAATGTTTCTAAAGAATATATCTTTTATTACTCAACAAAAGTTTCTTTAATCTAAATTATAATACAAACTGATCCCCCAACTTCCAGGACCTTATTTTTCTGCGTGCATCTACGAGAAATGCGAGTGCATAAAAATTGCATTAAGCAAACAACATTAAAATTAACTTAAATGGGCATATATAGGAGGAAAGCCAAATGCATTTGACACATTTACTTAATCGCATTTCACTCGAAATGACTCTGCGAATGGGATTTTTCAAACGAAAACCTACCATAATGAAATAAAAGAAAATTTATAAATGACTATACAGTATTTAATATATTTATATTTCTGTATTTTATGTTCACATTACAAATTAATTACATTGGCCAGAAAGAGAGCGAGACGTTGATGTTGGTCTGGAAATTTTTAATTAATATTTGTCATAGCATTTTTCGCAATTTTTCAGCAGCAAATGCAAATGTGAATATGAATGTTTGTAGATACTACTTAATGCTGAAATGTATATTGCGTTTTGCTTAGATAAATATTTGTTTGCAAACAGAATGCGGAATTAATTGGAATTGTTTCTAGTTACATCGGATTTTAGGTTATTTGATAGGCCAGAGCCAAAGCAAACAAAGCCAAATATATAATCCCCATTCCCCCCTTGAAGCATCAAACGGAATTAATTTCCGCAAAAGCAACAAAAAAAATAATAATCATTCGAATCATTTCTCTCCCCTTCCCCCAATTATGGCCATTCGATATGCAGGAGAGATCAAATTTAAATTTAAATTTAAATTAATGTTTCCGATTGCAGCAGGTGCATGTTGGGAGGGGGCTTGATGATAAGTTGCAGCTGCGAAATTGCCTGATTTGCATATTGCCAAAGAATATATATCCTGGAGACACAATCTGTGTGGCAATGTACAAACTAATAACTAATATTAACAAATCAAGGGGCTGCCTGTCGCCGCTCATTAAGGATAAGTCCAAGCTTGTCCCAATTTTCGACATGTTCAATATGTTTGTATTCCAATTTTTGCGAGGGATTGCTGCTGCTGCTTGGTAAAAAGGACATTTGTTTGCCCAATTTGCAATGTTTCCAGCTTCCGTTTTTGGAAATTCCGCAAATATTTGACAATGCAATGCGCAAATTGCCTTGGGTTGCAAATGCCACAGCACAATATATACACTCTTGAATTCGTATTTTCGGCGAGAGGGAAATTTATATTGAACGCAATTTGTTTGTTTTGACGGAAAGGGACATGGTATCGATTTTGGTCCTTAAACAAGGAGCTTGAAGAATGAAAGGAAACATTGTTGCTGGTTTTTCGATGCAGATTTTTAAAGGGAAAATGCAGAATTGTTTGATCTCTCCTTTAGAAGTTGATTGTTAAGTATTAAAGTTGTTTTTATTGAATGCATTTTGTAATTAATTTAAGGAGAGGAATATCTAATTAAATTATTTATAACTGAAGTCTTATTAAACAAAGTTATTCTGTGTGTATTAGTTATTTGGTTTTACTTCCAAGTATTATATTTATTTGTGAGTGTTTTAGGTATCAATTCATGAAAGTTAAATGCCTGATAATATATTTATTAAGATACCTATATTTTATAAATATTCTGAATACATTTTATAAATCATATATAATTGATTTAAAATATATTTCATAAGCAAACTGTAAAACATTTCCCAAAAACACATATTCTTTAAGAAGTCATTATGCATTTTAAGTTTGAGTTTAAGCTTGAATAAATTTTTTAGTTTAAAACATTGATCATTCTTGATCTTAATTCAAAATACCCCAAAATTAACTTCATAATAATCCAAAAAATATAAGAAATCACTTTAACCCAATGATACCTCTATAAACTTATCTTAATTAACGCCTGATATAAATGAAATGAACTCTCTAAAGAACAAACCCAAATGCCCCAATTTATTGGCTTCGTGATTTCGAAAATTCCCCTGTGAAACTTGCAACTTTTTCAAGTTGCCACTTTGGAGATGAACTTCGAACTTCGATCAGTGTCACTTACCCCAAAAAAAGGAAACTTTCCACGTTTCCAGCTCACTTTCGGAGTGCAAATTAGTTTTCTGTGGCAGCTAATTTAGATGCGATTTCGTTTATTTTCATTTAGGTTTTTTTTTTTAAACAAAGTCTGTTTCGGACACGTTCTAAACTTGCTGCTGACTCAATAAATTAACCGAAAATCCGGCTGTCTTCTTTTTGTTTATATAGTTCTATGTCCTATGTCCTTTTTCTATCTATGACACACACACACGGGCACACAAAAACACAATCAGGATGCGCGGCAGAGTATTAAAAACTCATTAAGCGACCGACGAGGAGGAGCTTCGGGTGTGTGTGTGTTCTATGCTTCCTATATTTTCCCCCTTTTTCTTTAATTTATGCAAATATCGACCGCACACACATATGCAAAAGGACGAGGAAGATGCGCCCAAGACAGAGCCTGAGGATGATGCCAAAAAAAGTCTGCGGAAAGTGTTCTTCCTTTATTATTTTCCTCTTATATATTTTTTTTTGTCCGGTAACTCGGGGAAAGTAAATCGAATGTCAACCGCACACATGCAAGGCGAACACTTAATCAAAAGCACACACCACACACACACTCGAAGAGAGTCCTGCGGGGTAGGTGGGTCCTGCAGAGGACTTTGCCTTCTGTCAAAAACACGTGCGATACGTGACCTAGGCCAAGCGTTAAATTCACGCGCCAATGTTCCCGATTTTTACTCTGCTTTCTCCTGTTCTTTTTTTTTTTTCTTGTGTTAAATTTCGTTGTCGAAGAAGGATCCTCCTGCTGTGCCTGAATCTCTGACAATATATATATATATAGCCATACACATATATCGACCAAATCCGCTTAGGACAAACTGACGACTGATTCTGCAAGTTGGCCAAAAACTTGGCATTGGCAACGACGCTCGGCTGGGCTCGGCAGCGGCAGCCGCTGCTTCTGCCTCATCCTTATTATCCTTCGGCTGTCGTCGTCGTCGTCGTCGTCGAGGAGGACCTCGGCGATAGCTCCGGGTTCGATATGTCCACGACCTGCCGCACGAGCAAAGAGAGTGCCTAAGAGAAACTCTGTTCCATTTTCCATGTTCCGTTTTTGCCGAGGAAAGCGCAACTAGTTTTGCCAGCCAGCCAGTTCCTGGAAGGGAGAAAATGTGTGGCATTGGAAGTGCCTCGATTTTCCACCTTTATTTCCCTTTCCCCCTCCTAACCCTGTTAATATACCGGCACGGCTGCCCGTTTTGTTTGCCCAATTAAATGCCACATATGTCATAAGCATAATAATCTCTGGTTCGGGAGCCCCATTTCATCGCTGCAAGCACTTCTTTTTTTTAATTAATCATTAATAAGAGCCACGCTCGGCTGGCGACTAAAGCAGATAAAAAGTAACCCCACAATCCGCTGAGTCCTCTGTCCCGCAGAATCCCAAATTGCAGTTGCACTCCGGCACCGGGCAACCGGCATTGGGGGCCTTTGATATGTCCGCTTTTGCCAGAAGCCGGAGTTGGTGAGGGGAGAAGGGGAGAGGGGAAAGGGGAGCGGGGAGTGGGCCTCCACGGCTCCGGCCGCAATTAGCAAAGCGGCGTAAAAGCTACTGAAGCGGTGGCTCCCTAACCCCAGCTCAATTGACTCACTAAAAAAAATAACAATTAATGTCCAAGGGTAAAATAAATGTTAATAAATTATAATAAATTGTTTTTTAAAATAAGGAACAATTTAATACGATCCATTTTCAAAATAACAAATTGCGATGTTGCCATGTGAAATGGCATTCGCATTATTTTAATCCATATTTATATATGACAACTTTGATTTACAAATCAATGCTTAAAAAGCACATAACTTAGCCAAAAATACTTTAATTTTAATTCACTCCCATCTTAGTTTTTATGAGGTTAATAAATCTGCATACTCAATAAAGAATTTTAAGAAATTAAAATTTTTTTCACTTTTTTTTTAATTTTAACCCCTTGTAAAATTGTGAAAATTTTGAAAAAATTAAATTTTGTCCGGAAATGGCTAGATCGATTCAGTTTTTCATGCTGATCAATAATATATACGATTTACAGGGTCGGAAACGATTCCTTCATAGCGAAATAAGCTCCTGACTAAAATTATAATACCATTATTTTAATAGATATTTATCTATATTTTTATATGACAATTTTTTCCCCCAAATTAAAGTTTAAAAATCACGTAACTTAGCCAAAAAGGCATTAATTTTAATTCGGAAATCACTCCTATCTTAGTTTTTATAAGGTTAATAATTCTGTATACTCAATAAAGAATTTTAAGAAATTAAAATTTTTCTCACTTTTTTTTCAATTTTAACCCCTTGTAAAATTGTGAAAATATTGAAAAAATTAAATTTTGTCCGGAAATGGCTAGATCGATTCAGTTTTTCATGCTGATCAAGAATATATACGATTTACAGGGTCGGAAACGATTCCTTCATAGCGAAATAAGCTCCTGACTAAAATTATAATACCATTATTTTAATAGATATTTATCTATATTTTTATATGACAATTTTTTCCCCCAAATTAAAGTTTAAAAATCACGTAACTTAGCCAAAAAGGCATTAATTTTAATTCGGAAATCACTCCTATCTTAGTTTTTATAAGGTTAATAAATCTGCATACTCAATAAAGAATTTTAAGAAATTAAAATTTTTTTCACTTTTTTTTAATTTTAACCCCTTGTAAAATTGTGAAAATTTTGAAAAAATTAAATTTTGTCCGGAAATGGCTAGATCGATTCAGTTTTTCATGCTGATCAAGAATATATACGATTTACAGGGTCGGAAACGATTCCTTCATAGCGAAATAAGCTCCTGACTAAAATTATAATACCATTATTTTAATAGATATTTATCTATATTTTTATATGACAATTTTTTCCCCCAAATTAAAGTTTAAAAATCACGTAACTTAGCCAAAAAGGCATTAATTTTAATTCGGAAATCACTCCTATCTTAGTTTTTATAAGGTTAATAATTCTGTATACTCAATAAAGAATTTTAAGAAATTAAAATTTTTCTCACTTTTTTTTCAATTTTAACCCCTTGTAAAATTGTAAAAATTTTGAAAAAATTAAATTTTGTTCGGACATAGCTAGATCGATTCAGTTTTTCATGCTGATCAAGAATATATATGATTTATAGGGTCGGAAATGCATCCTTCACAACTTTACAAGCTCCTGACTAAAACTATAACACTCTGCAAGGGAATATTAATATTGTAAATAGACTTCGTGAAAGATAATTTTAAATAAAGTTTGTATTACAAATTTCTTCGAATTTTTTACTGTTGTTTTAATTATTAACTTTTTTCAGTGTTGTTCCTAGTCCCTGTCCGATTTCCAGATGCGGTAGCGAAACAGAACCAGATCACGTACTTCGTTTCCCAAGGGGTCGCGGGAAAGAATTGCAAAGAAATATAAAAATAAATAGGGGAAAGAAAACCCATTCTTAGACTTTAAAATGCTCTTAATTAAGGAAGTTATAATAATTAACTTATTGATGATCAAGTATATACAATTAAAATTCTTATATTAATAATGTATTAGAAAACGATAAGTGGTTTTCTTAATCAGTGTAGAATAATTTATTATGTTATTTCATTTCATTTTAATAGAAGAAGAATATAGATGTATCGTTTTTTATACAAATATAAATTCATAAACTTAGGCAATATATTAATTTTCTTCTTTTTTAAATGGGTTTTTTATTATTAAGTGACCTTTTGATTGACCTGACGAATGCGTATAATAAATTTGAAGCTAGTTTCTTATGTTCGTCATTTCATCCCGATAAAATCTTAAAATATCTTTAAGGAGAAATAACAACTCCTCACTGGAATACTCCATCCCGTGCAGGGCAATCCCCAACCAGACACCGCACACAACAACCACAACATTCGGCCACTTGGATGTCGCCTCCTCCTCCTCCTCCTCCTCCTCCTCCTGTGCCTGCTCTGGAATCGATTGTGTAGGCAGGAGGAGCTCCTTTCCCCCCCAGTTGCTCCCGGTTCCCTGATCCCTGATCCCGTCCCCTTCGCTCCGGGCAATTGACCCGCGGGTCGTGTCCTCCTCCCGCTGCAACTGCTCCTCAACTGCTTCCATATGCTCGCCGGGTGATGTGCGGTAGTAAATACAATTTACTCCACTCGGTCGCACACACATTCCGATGGCGCATAATTTTATTGGCTTGCCGGCAACTGGGATGCACTGGGATGCGTTCCATGGCGTTCTGCGTTGACTTCGATGACAGCCAGCAGAATGAACAGAGTCCCTAGGTGGCAGCCCATCCTCCTCCTCCTCCTTCTCCTCCTCTGACTCCTCCTCCTCCTTCTGTCGCAGTATCTCCGCATCCTAATGAGATATGGCCCCGGAGTCACTATGCATTTTTCTAGGCCCAACATTTGCAAACAGCACGCGGATCGGGGGACAGGACAACCATCTGCCAACGGCAACGCCATGGGTCATATCCATGAGATGTCCCCCTCTTGTTCCGGCACAGCAAAAAAAAAGGGGGTTACAATTACAATTTGATATTTTATCTTTATCTTTAAGTTTTATGTAATAAAAGGTAAAGTATTATGTAAAAAAAAGTCTAGAAATATATGGGATTTTTTAAGAAATATTTTGTATATATTTCATATATTCTAAATCTTTTCAAATTAGATTTTTCAAATCCATTTAATACTTAACATAAAACTTAAACTTTGACTTTGATTTTCAAAGATTTAAATCTTGATTTCAAGCAGAGAATTGACTAAATCATTTGGTATTTCTAAAAATAACCCCAAGGAAATATTTTCTTTCAACTAGGCCATTTTTTCTTTAGCTTATCTTATTTCTTAAACAGATTATCCAATAATAAACTATCAAATAAAATAAAATAAAAATTAACCTTCGAAGGTTTTTTGAAGTTATAAACAAATCCGGGTAAAGATAGCTCAAGTTTTGTTAAAATAGAATTGGAAATGAATTCTAAGGACTTCATTATTTTATTTTTCAAATGCCCCCAAGTAAGATTCTCCTTGATTATATACCCTTTATATATTTAAATATACTTTAAATATTTTTCCATGTCTCTAAAAATCATATTCCTTGATTAATTTACATCCCATCCTTCCACATGGAATATATTTGAATAAATGTGAATTTATTATTAGTTAAATCTTTTTGTACTACAATATTAAACCCCATTTTTGATCACAGTGCACCGGCACTTATGGTCTGCATATGAAATCGCGCCCATAATCATCAGGGACACGGTGAACTCTGGTCTCGCATTGTGACTCTGTCTCCCTCTGTCTCCCTCCCTCTCTCTCTCTCTCTCTCTCTCTGGGATCTCCCCGGCCGCTGGCAGAAATGCTAATTAGGCGTAATTCGCATAAAATTCGCAAACATTTGCTGTCACCGGGCGAGGGGGCGAGTCACTGCAGTCATGGCTGCGCTCTGGTGTAGCTTTTGATTTACGAGTTCCAGGACGCGTACAAGGACCCAAAGGCTGCCAATCTGACCAATCCGGCCTATCAACGGCTCATCAACGGTCGCGAAGAGGAGGACCACCTTCCAATCAGCGGTCCATCCGTCATCAGCTCTCTGCCTCTCTGCCTAATTACTAAGTGTATGGGTGTGTAAGCCGATATGATTCAGTTTATTATGGGTTTTTGGTTTGGTTTTTGGTCTCTGATTATGGAGTTAGGGGAACTCCACAAATGCCCAGACTTACAGCTTTAAAATTCACATAATCCTGGTATTATTAGAGGGAAAATCTAACTTTGGGTTAAAAGTTAAACTCACTTTTTAAATCCTTTCTTTAAAAAGTTGATTAATTATTCAGATTTACTTTCAAAGTCTTGAGGTTATGGAATCCTTCCATAGACTCCTGTTTTCTTTAAAAAAGAATCTATAAATTAAAGGCGTATAAATGCGTCCCTAATTTAATTGCCTTCAAGAACACTATAACATCTTTTAAACTTTCAAAACTTTGATTATTTTTAATACACCTAAATATTATTTGAAGAATATATTTCTTAATGCAGAAATTGGTAAGCAACTCTGTCAAGAAATCAATTAAACACAGTTCTTAAAGAAAATCTATTATAAAAATCAAATAAAATACCTTTCCCGCCTGCAGTTTCCCATTTTCACCCATCTAAATTGAGAAAATCTCCTCAGACAGATGGAAATTGATAAACCCATTCGCTGTTGTCTGTATTAATTAAACGGCCAAGTTGTTGAGCAGGACTTTCGGGGGGCAGCTCACGATTCCCATCGAGTTTGGCATAGTTTCCTTGAAGGGACATTATTCACTTAACGCCAGCACTTGGCATACCCCACACCGCGGGGTGGCAAACTATTGTCGTGGCGCTGTCATTGCCGCATCCTCTTGAAAGGATTTCAATGTCAAACCGCAACTGTAACCAGTTCTTGGTCCATTACATTAACCCACTGGCGCATCAAGTTTACCGCCGGCGACCACAAAAAGCGACGAAAATGAAAATTCATGAAAGTTTATCGCACCGCCCTCCCAAGTGGGTCCAGGAGCAGGACACAGGATCCGGAGACACGGATACGAGAGAGGCTGTAGCCAACCATTCGCTCCACTTTTGTGGTCAATTAACGGCCCTCGGCCGGCCTCGAGTTTGTTTTTGTGTAATGAATTTAAATGACCCACTGCGCCGGCTCATCAAGTGCTGCAAAGTGTTTTCCAACAGGACGCGGAAGGACATCAGCAGGACGCGGACTCCTTCCTCAGCAGTTTAAGCCCGTCCAGATCCCGCTCGCTCTCTCCCTGTGACAGCACCTGTCGCCGAAAAATTTCCAACAATTTGGCTAATGACCTTCTATGGCGCTTAGATGGAGTTGGACAGAGTTGCTAAATAAATACATATATTATGGCAAAAATTTAGCTATTTTATACTCTGAAAAATTATATTGATATAAGCTTATAGGTTATATGTTTATGTACTTAATTTTTGAAATGCAGATTAAGATGAATATTATTTGTTCTAAAAACATACTAGTTTAATATTTTATTGCCTATTTTTACTTACTCTTTTAAATAAATCTTTGGAATTTATAAATCAAGATTTACTTGGAAACTGCCAGAGAAACGGTTGTTAAATGTAGAGGATCAGTAAGTATCTTTCGACAGTAAGTAACTCTGAACAGTTAGTAACTCAGAACAGTAATTAATTATGGGCGGTAAGTATCTATGACCAGTAAATAACTATGATCAGTAAGTATCAATGAACACTAAGTCAGTAATTAACTATGAGCAGTAATTAAGTATGAGCAATAAGTAACTATGATCCGTAAGTATATATGACCAGTAAGTAACTATGATCAGTAAGTATATATGACCAGTAAGTAACTATGATCAGTAATATAATAAGTAATATGATCAGTAAGTATCAATGAACATCAAGTAACTCTGAGCAGTAAGTATATATGACCAGTAAGTAACTCTGAACAGTAAGTATCTATGACCAGTAAGTTTGTAAAGGGGACCATGGCAATAAGGAAATTTATTGGAATATAAGATCTAGACCTAGGTCTGATCCCACCAATATCTTTTTCATATATAATATAAATGTCATGGTTAAGACTTACCGCAGTAGAGCTCTTTCGTCATCGCTTACTTCCTTCCCGTGTAGTGACCAAGATTGGGTGACTTCATCCAAGTGAGCTTCTTCGTGGTCATCCAGATCCATTGCATTGGCCACGTCATATTTTTGATCTCGAAGCTCGATCACTTGCACTATCACTATCGATGTTAACACTAGGTACCCCTAGGACAGACTGAGGCGCGCGCGACCTCAGCGCCTCTATTTATAGTCCCCGAGGAAAGAGAAGAGAAGAGAAAGTGAGCGTGAGTGCGTGCGAGAGAAGCAGTTGCCTCTAGAGATTAACATAAGGCAATAGGCATAGAGAGAGAGAGGGAGAGGCAGAGAGAAACAGCGAGCTATTTAATTAAGTAACTATGATCAGTAAGTAACTCTGATCGGTAAGTATCTATGATCAGCACGAAAAGCTTAATCGATTTAGCTGTGTACGGACAAAATTCAAAATTTTAAAAATTTTACAAAAGGGTCATTAAAATTGTAAAAATATGCCAAAAATTTTAAAATTTTTAATTTTTATTTTGCGTCTCCAGATTTATTAACCGAATAAAAACTAAGATAGGAGTGCTTTCGGAATTAAAATTAATACATTTTTGGCTTAACTACGATATTTTTAACTTTAGTTTTTCGAGCAAATTGTCATATAAAAATATAGATAATTATCTTCTTAAAGAATGTTATTATGATTTTAGTCAGAAGCTTGTAATGCTGTAAAGGAATCATTTCCGACCCTAAAAATTATATATATTCTTGAACAGAATGAAAAGCTGAATCTCTGGGTAAAATATATTTTTTTTCAAAATTTCAAAAATTTTACAAGGGGTTACATCCTTAAAATTGTCAAAATTTTCCAAGAATTTAATTTTTTTCGTGAGTAAACAGATTTATTAATCTAATAAACACTAACATAGGAGTGCTTTCCGAATTAATATTAATGCTATTTTGGCTAAGTTATGCGTTTTATACCTTGATTTGTCGAAAAAATTTTCATATAAAAATACCAATAATTATTGATTCAACGATTACGAATATGTTATGAATATAGTGTGCTCACATTTATTTTTTAACAAATTTATGAAAAGAAATGTGTGAAAATTGGCTTGAAAACAGCCGAGGGGACATTTTAGATGCGACCTGGCTGTGAGTTGAGTGTAAATACCAAATTAATTATATTCCATGCAGAGAAATTAATCAAGCGTAGCGTTGGCCAAACCAAAACCAACTACACGCTCCCGATGAACTCTATTTAACCCCAAAAACAAGCCACGCCCACCCAGCCACGGCACAGGTGTGAGCCGGAGTTGTGCCCAGCTTGCGGCCATTTCATTAATCACACTCAACACTTAGCAGGAGTCTGAGGCAGGGACTTGGACTCTGGCCCCGGGCTTGGGTCTGGTCTCAGTCTGAGTCTGGAGCTGCAGCTTTGGTTTTTGAGGGGTGGGGGCAAGGTGAAGGAGGGGGGCGAGAAGGTAAGCCTGCCCGTGGCCAATGTCAAATGGTTTCTCGGGGGCCCTGTCTGGCCCAACTTCCGATTATTTATTATTGTTTATACATATATTCAAAGCGTTTGAAGTATCCTTAAAATGATTTAAGTAGTATTTTTAACAGTAAATGTAAAGAAATGCTTAAATTTGAATTTTCCCAATTCAAAAACTAGATTTATCGGCGTATAAATAGTTCCAAAATAAAGAATTTTATTAATGTAAATGTAAAAAGAATTACCATTTAGTTGAAATTCTTAAAAAAATATATATATTTCCCAATAAACATGTTTAATAATAATCTTTAATAACTAAAATCTATTTTAAAGCCACCAAAGAATCGACTTCCTTTTACTCCTTTTACAATATGAAGTGCATTCTTTTGGGTTACCTTTCTATAAAGTCATTCCGAGTCCTTTTTATGGAATATAACTATAATAAAAACACATATTCGCACACAACGTGCTGTCGCCATCTATGGTAATATTTATTTTTTGGTTCAGCATTTCTCCGTGTTGGTTCAAAAAGCGCCAGCATAAAATCGAAACTTGGTTTTTTTATAGAAAGGAGCTTTCACTCAATTTTTATGGAGACAAATAGCTCAACATTATGTACTATAAATAAAGGATGTCAAAATCTTTAAAGTACATAAACCGTTTATAGCAAAAACTAAGTAATCCCTTTTTTTTGTAATTCAACAAAAAATAAGGAAAGCACCAGAATTATATTCTACGGATTTTATATATATTTTATCTGGCTTAAAGTCATACAATAAACATAAATATCAATGAATCGCATCACAAAAATTAAGAGTTCATCTCTCACACAAGAAAATAATATCATTTTTGGGATTTACCTTTTTAAATCGCTTTCCAAACATCCCCACAGATTAGGTGCGCCTCTTGATGATTGCCATATTAGATAGATGGAGGATCCTATTGAAATCCACCTTGACATGGGCTCGCCAATATTTACAGCGTCCCCAGATGACGGCAGGATAATTGGGACTGGTAATTCCGTGAAAGATGCGGGCTATGTTCCGGCCACTGAATGTATTGTCCGGATACATGTTGATCAGCGAGTGCACATCATCCGTAATGCTCTCATCCGGCACATTGCTTGGCTAAAATATATATATATTTAATACAAATACAAAGAATATTAATAACCTTAATTACCTCTACTTCCAGTTCAAGATCCTGCGGATAATCGTTGAGGAAATAATTGCGCACTATAGCCTTAAGCTGCTCGCCACGATCTTGCGGAAAGTCAGCACTACAGCACTGGCTACAGGAGCTATAGGCCACCGCCGCCAAGCCATGGGCCACATACTGCAGTTGGATAAGCTGTGTGCGTTCTTGCTTCACGGAACGCGTGTATAGTGTGTCCAGAGCGCCATCGATCTCCGTTTCCGTGAAATCACCCGGGACCTTGATGCGAAAGCCGAGATCATAGAAGCTCACCGTGATGGGGGATCGCTTGGGAAAGCCATTAACTTGAATATAATAGAAGGAGTTATGTGAGATAGATTCTCATTCGGAAAAGTCAAGTGCAAACTTACTTTTCACCCATTCCAGATCCTTAAGCTGGTACTTAACCACGCCGCTGTTCCAGCCGATACCCGCTGCTATATCGGTCACCGAAAACTCTATAATATTGGCATCCTCCTTGAAGGTCTTGTTGCGGATCTGCAAGGCAATGGCCATGGCCAGAGGGGGACATTCCTTGGCTGCGTGCCTGAGGATAAGAGATTTGTATATTATCAGTTGAGCTATTCCTTTCATGATCAAACCAATTACTCACTTGAGGTACTTGGGTCCTCCGTAGGATATCACCTTGGCCATCACATATGCGGAGCTGAGCACGCTAATGCACCAGCGCGGATCCAGCTCCATGTAGCAGAGTAGGGTTGATATATTCTCCGCCGGAATGTCCAGCATTTCGACGGTCTTTTCCACAGAGAAGCCAATCTCATGACCAGGACACACATGATCTCTCGGACCATCGCCGATTGGCACAGAAACTGTTCCCTTGGCCAGATCCTTGTCGCAACTGCATGGCACAAAGACCTTTTGCAGCAGCTTTCGGATCACATGGCGATCGATGGAATTGGAGTAGACATGCCGACGCAGCTCACTCTGGTCGCCGCCCTTGGAATCCAAAAAGAGGTGGCAGTGTGAAATCAAGCCATCGCGTCCCGCACGTCCTATCTCCTGCACATAGCTCTCGAAGTTTCGCGGCATATTGTAGTGAATGACGGCTCGTATATCGGGCTTATTAATGCCCATGCCAAAAGCTATGGTGGCCACCACAATGCGCAGCTCATTGCCCATGAAGGCTTTTTGAACGGTGCGGCGCCTGGAGGCGGGCATGCCCGCATGGTATGGTTCCGCCTGCCAGTTGACTCGCTTGCGCTTTTTTCCCTGCTCCGGAGCGGGCTGTCTGCGGTCCTGCACGCAAGTCCTGATAAAGCCAGCAATCCGTTCGCACTCATCACGTCGGGTGCAATATATAATGATGGACTGACAGGACTCGAAGCTGAAAGGGATTGAAAAGGTTGTAAGTTTAAGGATTAAGAGTAAAGTCGTATGCTCCTCTTACCGTTCACTGTTTAACAGAAGCAACAGGGCCGCATCTCGATTCTCATCCTTGGAGACGGACAACACCAGGTTATCTGGCAGTGGAGTATCACTGATCACGCCCCGCTCCCCGTCAGCAATGCCCAAATGGTTGATGATGCTCACACGTGTGGGCAGCGTTGCGGTGGCCGTAAGTCCCAGGACCGTGTGCACGCCCAGATTCTTGCGCAGCACCTTGCAGATCATCAGGTAGCTTGGCCGGAAATTGTGGCTCCACTGGGACACACAATGCGCCTCATCAATGCAAGCGAACGCAATGGGTGGTAGCTGCCGTAGAATAGCACCAAATCCCGTTGCCCGCTCTCCGGAAACCACCGCCTCCGGCGAGACCAAGAGGATATCAATCTCTCCATCGGCAATCATCTGCTGGATCTTTATGCGCTGCTGCGGCGTCTGATTTGTGTGAAGGCAGTGAGCACGCAGGAAGTGAGGTACACCGGTGACCTGGTCCTCCATCAGCGACACCAGCGGCGAAATGACCAGTGTAATGGCTCCCAGCTTGCGGCTGTAAAGGTAGGCTGGCAACTGGTAACACAGCGACTTACCGCTGCCCGTGCTGAGGGTCACGAGTGAGGAGAGGCCGGATAAGGTTCGCATGATGGCCCGATCCTGTCCCTTCCTGAAGTTACTGTGGCCGAACATGTGCAGCGTCTCCAGCACCTCGGGCGTGGTGTCCTGGACCGTTCCGTCCGGCAGGAGATCGTAGAGTGGCTTAACGCCGCCATGCTGACTGCGATTCGAGGTGCCGTTGGTGGTGTCCAGGCCAGCTTGCTTCAGGAACTCCTCGGGAATTTTGTGGCCCACGTAGGTTTTGATAGGAGACGCAGCCTTTTCCTCAGAATCCTTTTGACTTAACGAGGCTTCCACGGCAGCGTCTAGGGCCTCGAAATCAATGTCCGAATCATCGCTGGACCAATTAGGATCCGGATGGTGCTGTTGACTCTCCTCATCCTCCTCATCGCCGCTGCATTCGTCCTGCGACTCTTCCGATTCCGCCTCTGGCTGAAAAATGGCTTCATTGGCCGCCTCCGGGAGCCTGGAAATGTTTCGACTGTGGGCAACCATAGCACCCTGGCTGGCCATCTCCTGGGCCTCGGCAAGTGTGGGAAAGGGTGAGGGATCCTCTTCCAGTTGCGCGGATAGCGGGAGTAAGCTGTCGCCCTTCACCTTGCATTGTTGGGCAAAATGACCCACGCCGCCGCATTGGAAGCAGGTAAGGACACCGCCATCGCAGCCGCCCATGTCCATGTCGGGGCCACTCAGGGCAGCCACTCGTTTCTTATGCCGCCACTGCTGCTTCTTGTACTTGCTGAAATTCACCGTCTTCTTGCCGCGCGCAAATTTCTTCTTCTGTATGTTTATCGTGACGAAATTCTCGTTCAATTTTCCCGCAGCAATTCGCTCCTCCATCTTCTTTCGGGCAGCCGCTCGCTTTTCGTCCACATGAATGGCAGGTCCCCCACTTGATCCCGCCAAGGGAACTGCTGCAAAGGTGCTAATGTAACGCTGAGCGGTTGCATCGGCTTTCTCGAGTTCCTGCGGATTAATCCGTGGTACAGAGGTGATGTCGCCCGCCTCCAGAGCCAGCACATATTTAAGATCTTCGGGATTTAGGGGCTGTCCCTGCTCCTCTCCTTCCTCTGGAGGTTCTGGTGCAGACTTGGCTGGGGCAGGCGCCTTCTTGGAGTTCCTGGGCTTCTTCTCCGCTTTGACTTTGGGTTTCTTTTCCACTTTTTCTTTGGGTTTCTTCTCAGTCTTGGGTTTGGCTTTGGCTGTTTGCCTCTTCCCCGCTGCCTGTTTTCGCTTTGCCTTCTCCTTTTTCACCTTCACCGGCTCGTAGGTGGCATCATCAGCCTCCTCATCGGCCGAGAAATCTGGACCTGCTGGCTCTTCGGTTGGCTCTTCGGTTGGCTCTGTCTGAGGTTCTGGCTCAGCTTCTGTCGGGGCTGCTTCTTCTGTTGCTCCTCCCAGTGTGGGCATTATCCTGCGCCGCTTGGCCAGCTGTCGGTACTCCTGTGGCTCCGGCTCCTCTTCGCTCTCAGCCACCACGGAATCGGAGTCGGAATCTGTTGCCTGCTCAACAGGGGGAGGATTCTTGGTAATGATGGGAATGGCAGCAGGTTCCATCACTTGCAATGAGTTGTTCACCGGCTCCACCATCCTCTCCTCCTCCTTAACAGTGGGCTTTAGCTTGCTCAAGTCTAGATTTGCCAGACCAAAGTTGGTCTTTTTCGGAGGAGCACCATTGTTATTAGGTTCCGCCGGCGTTGTGGTCACCGGCTCCAGAGTGTTTTCCTTGGTGTTGCGCTGCAGCCAGCCGTCGTCCACCTGCGTTTTGATGGCCTCTTTAGGCAACGGATTGGTGGCCACCAATAACTCCTTTTCCTTGTATTCCTGGGCTTTCCTTAGCAATATGGTCTCGAAATCGGGCAACACTTCGGATATATCATTGTCTTTCATGTGATTCAGGGTTGAATTGGATGTCCCGGAAGCGTTGAGTGAGCTATGCGAGAGCGGCTTTCGGGGATTTCGCTTGGCAAATCCTCGCGTGGATTGGAAGAGCTTGGCACTCAAGCTGGGCTTCAGGCTGGTAGCGGTGGACGATTTCAACTGCTTCCCTGCTGCAGCAGCGGAGCAGAGACAGAAGCTTCCAAAGGCTGCGGCGGCTTCAGGCTCACATTGGCTCCCCAGGCCTTACGATTGATGGGCAGCTCCTCCACTGCCTCGAACTGTCGGATAACATGGTTCTCGTCCCGATTGGCCAGATTGGTAAGTGCTTGCGGATTGGGTAGCTCCTGGAGATTAGAGAAAGCGCCGCTGCTGCTGCCATCCGCCTGTGGCTCCACTAGCGCAGCTATGTCCAGCGGCAGTTGGGGGCCACCATTCACACTGAGGTCCTGGTCCTGGTCCATCAGGCTCACGCCCAGCTCGCTAGCCTGCGACATCTCCAATACGTCGTAACCATCCTCGTCGCAGAGAACATCGTTGAGGGTCTCCTCCAGAAAGGAAGTCTTCAGCTTGTAGTACATCTTGTAAGAGTCCCGAATCTCCTGGCTGGCCTCCCGTATATCATACTGCGCCCCCGCAAAATATCAGGTTTTATGATGCATTTTTAAATCCAATATACTCTCACCTTTGAGGGCACTCGTCCGTTTTTCTTCTTGAAATCCTTTTCCCATAACTTGACGCGGAGCTTGTACTTCTGGTATTTCTGCTTGAACACATCCTCCATGGCGGCGGCGAAGGTTTCCTGCAATATTTATTAACATTTAAAAACCGAACAACATTTGCGAAACGAAATTCCCGAGAAACTAATACAAATGCAGCTGTTTTCGCTGAGCGCGCGCTTTTTTGCCTGTGCTGCCAGACCAATGTAGGTTTTAAGAGCTGCCAGACGTCGAACTTGACTTTAGTAAATATCGGTTACAATTTGAAATTTATTAATCTTTTCTTTTTAATTTAAGTTTCGGATACATTTACAAAAACACTTCACGTCAATCCAAGCTTTAGAAAGCACGCTAAACTCTTTAAAAGAATCATTTAAATTGAAATAAATATAATAAGTTAAGTAAATACCATTAAAATGGATCGACTGTGTGTTCGTTTTGTTTTTATTTGTAGTAAAAAATATCCAAGCTTGGCCGTTGCAAAATGCAGTTCTCACAATGATGCTACATAGGTAAATGTGACTCGCAAGGGGCTTCCCTTGCTAGAAAAACAACTCAAGATTACAAAAAATACGATTCAAAAAGTCGGAGAATAAAGCGATGGAGTAGGAGAAGCAGGCGCAGGGATGAGGAAAGGCAGGACGAAAAGAAGGGCGAGAATGTAAACAGTGGTGCTGATGGAGGAGGGGGCAAGCGCCTACATGAGTATCAGGGCAATCTCCTCCGGCTGCATCGATGGGCAGCGCCAGTTGTACAGATAGTACTGCAGGTTGCCGTCACCAGCTCCAAACTTAAGTGGTGCAAAGTACTTCTTGTTCTCCATAAGGTCGAGGGCATTGTAGACATCCATCTGGACATTTCGAGCCGAGATCAGGGCGTCGTTCATCAGATCCAGCCACGGTGTCTTCGTAGACACGTTGTAGAAGGAGTAGGCGGCGCGCACCGTCTTGTGCACCGGATGGTGCATCACCGAAGATGGCAGACAGTAGTAGCTGGTCAGGTCCGTGATGTTGCCCTTCTCGTCCGCCACCACGAAGCAGTCGATGATACCTTCCTTGGGCGTGAACCAGTGACGGAACTCCTCCTTGCTGAAAACTGGGCAGAGCTGAAACCGCTTCAGATAGTCCTCCAGCAGCTTGTGCGCTTTGTCCATGTCCTTGGCCGTGATCCGGCGATAACCCTTGGTCTTGGGCTGATCGGGCAGTTTGTATAGCTTCATCGTGCGCTGCATCGTCATGTTGCGGGCCAGATGCGAGAAGCGCACATCCACCAGCTTTTTGGGGTTCAGCGAGCGGTGCCAGTAGCGACAAGTGGCCACGGGCGTCGGCAGCACCACACCGGCCGTGTAGGCAGCCTGGAATATCCCCGTCAGATTGACCCGACGTGTGATCTCTCGGATTAGTACCGGTGCTACACGCTTGCTGCGCAGTTTCTTGTGCACGCAAAGGAAGTTGATGTCCACCACCTTGAGCACCTTGTCGTAGGCCTTAAGCTTGCTGGGTATGGCCGAGATGAAGCCGACCAGCTTGCTGGACTTCTCCACGCGAACGCCGACGTGCCAATCGCGTTTCCAGCCCGGCGGCTGCAGCGACCACTTAAGGAATTCCGGCTGATAGTCGAAACGGAACATGGCATCGTCATCCTCAACATAATTCTCGTTCAGCAGGGTATACAGCTCCTTGAGGTCATTGGCATCGTTCAGGTCCAGGGTCACCCACTTGAAGCCACCAGGCAGAGTGTATGGCTCTGCTCGGATTTCACTAACCTCCTTGTTCGGCTCGATGCACTCGTTGGTGGTCACCTGCTCATCCAGCTTAGGTACCGGCTGTGTGGACCAAAAGGCAAACTTCTTGGCCATCTGGCGAGTGTTGGCCATCGCCTCGGAGACGGCCTGTAGCAAGGCCTGCTTGCCTGGAAACGAAAAGCAGGAAAAGTATCGATTTTAATTCAAACCATAATGACCACTCCTCCTTATTCTAAATAAATGTTCTAACTTGAACTACACTATAAAATAAACAAGCAATCACCACCCTGAGTATGGATATCCCCATTTTTCATTGTATTAAACTAGTTTCCTTTAATTAACAAAAAAAACAATATCAGCCTAAAATAACCTCCCAAAATAGGGAGCTTAAACATGATATCATTGAACTCACCCAAGGTTGGCTGTAAGCTCAGCATAAGTGGGAAAAACATTACAAATGTGTTCTATATTTTTAAAAGATTTAAATCAAAGGAGTTTTACTTTTTCTGCTAGCCCTGTATTAAAAAATAGCTGGTTTATATGGTTTAAAATATTATTTTAAATGACAAATAAATCAATAAAATAAATTGACTCTAACTGTCCTAGAAGTCTTGCAATAACAATTTCAGCTTCCCTAAAATATAACAACATTAATAAATAAAAATAGCACTCAACTCCGTCTTAATTAACCAAATTCTTTAACGTTAAGTTTTACTGTAGTTCCCAGAACGAACCTAACCTCATTTTTGGACCGCCCCAAGGAGATGACTCCCAAAAAAGGGAATTTGTCCAGGCTCCTGCTGACCGTACTTACTTGCATCTGCGGACACTGAGGCCTCCGTCTTGGGCTGCTCGTCCGCCTGCTCCGATTCCTCGGCTTCAACCAAATCCAATGCCGATCCCGGTTCCGAGATCTTTAAGCCGGCAACAGCGTTTTCCAGCATTTCTTCTGTGGCGGCGGCCATCGCCTTGGCCTTCTGCTTTAACTCCTGGCCAGGCTGGTCCTCCGCATTGTCGTTCGGCATGTTCCGGCACCGGGTTAAGCTGTCTTTAAATACTTTGGCAATTAAAAATTTCAATGAAATTGCAAAACTACAAGGGCAGCAGCTGACTCAAAAAGCAGTGTGACCAAAGGCGGGACCCGGACAAAAGTTAGTAGTTCTGCAAATGGGATATCGGAAACTATCGGTCAAACAAAAAAAGCTCCTAAAATTTTGTAGGCAATTTAAATCTAATCACAATTATTAATTACACAAGCCCTACCTTAAAAATATAATTTCTTATTTATTTTTATTTATTCATTACATCTTTTCGGTGTTATTTAATGCACGCCACCTGGCCACATTGCTTTTGATAACATTGTTCGGCGTATTGTTTGGATTAGTTTCGTATTAGTTTATATAGAGCCCGACCGAGCATGCAATGTGGCGATTTCAGTCGCTGATAAGCACTGGGACCCCGCATCACTCAACCTCCGACTCCCACACCCAACGTCCGCGATGACTGCCACCAAGAAGCGCCTGAAGATCGTGGCCGCCGCTATTCTGACTCTGCTCCTCCTGGTCTATCTGTACAAGGCGGTCAGAGTGTCGGCTGGTGGGATGCCCTCCTTTTCGGCCGGCGAGGAAGTGCAGGCCCGCTGGCCCCCCACGGAGAGTTCGCTGCAGCGAAGCCTGCAGATGGCCTACGAGGAGCAAAGCTCCATGATCCGTGAGCAAAAGGAGGAGCTGCAGCGCACCCGGGAACACTTGGCCCAGTTGGAGGAGCAGATCCGTAGTCTGCAGACCAGCACGCCGCGCAAATACCAGAAGGTCAAGTACCTCAACTACAAGAACAGGAAGCGAATTCTCATTACTGGCGGAGCTGGCTTCGTGGGCTCTCACCTAGTCGATGATCTGATGGTTCAGGGTCACGAGGTCATTGTGGTGGATAACTTTTTTACGGGACGCAAGCGGAATGTAGAGCATTGGCTGGGGCACGAGAACTTCGAGCTGATCCACCACGACATTGTGAATCCACTGTTCATCGAGATCGATGAGATATACCATTTGGCATCGCCAGCCTCACCGCCCCACTATATGTACAATCCAGTTAAGACCATCAAGACCAACACCATGGGCACCATTAATGTGCTGGGCCTTGCTAAGCGCGTAATGGCCAAGGTGCTGATTGCCAGCACTTCGGAGGTCTATGGAGATCCCACAGTGCATCCGCAGCCGGAGACCTATTGGGGCCACGTGAATCCCATCGGTCCGAGGGCCTGCTATGACGAGGGCAAGCGCGTCTCCGAAACTCTGAGCTATGCATATGCCAAGCAGGTGAGATTAAATAATGTTATATGGCATACATATATTTGTGTCCCTATATCTCTGTATCATAATAACTTACAAAGCCCTTAAGTTTGTGATTCCCTGGCCATATTATCAGTAGGTGACTGTTTCATGTTTGAATTTCATCACCTTCTTGTTTTCTGGGCGGAAAATAGGTTCATAATCTAGAAAAGTCCCAAAGTTGAGACATAAACTGGTACAGGGGGTGCCATTGGTACACAAGTACACAATTCTTGAAGAAATTATATCTATGACACCCCCAATAGATTTATATTATTTTAATTTCGCAATTTATAACAAATAATCAAACATTATTAACCAGATAATTATTCTTTCTTTCGTTATAAATATAAAAAAAGTATTGATAAACAATCAAGTAAAAACAAGGTTACATTCCGTACAACATCAAATCAAACCGGCAAATAAAAGATATCTAGCTGATATCCAGAACCATAGCAGTTCTTTCCTGATTCCATTTGCAGTCAGGCATTAAATGATCTCAATTGGAATGCCATTAATTGGTGCTCTCCGCTTGAACGCTTTGCTTGTCACGAGATAAGATTTCCAATCTCCAAGTAGCTGAACACCACAACATAATTTCCAATCGAACTAATAGCTCTTCTGTTTTGCTTTCTGTGTCTTCTTTTAGGAAAAGGTTCAAGTGCGCGTGGCGCGCATCTTCAATACGTATGGACCCAGGATGCATATGAACGATGGCCGTGTGGTGTCCAACTTTATACTCCAGGCACTGAGAAACGAGACCATCACCGTGTACGGAAATGGCAAGCAAACCCGCTCCTTTCAGTACGTCTCTGACTTGGTTGACGGACTCATAGCTTTGATGAGCTCCAATTATACACAGCCGGTAAATTTGGGTAATCCCGTGGAGCAGACCATTGGCGAGTTTGCGCAGATAATCAAAAAACAGGTCGGCGGACCAAGTGTGATAAGACAAACGAAGGCCATGGAGGATGATCCGCAGCGTAGGAAGCCGGATATAACGCGTGCCCGCCACTATCTTCAATGGGAACCAAAGGTACCGCTGGAGACGGGCCTACAGAGGACCATCGCCTACTTCCGCAACGAGCTGGCACGCAGCGATCGCTTCCAGGAGAGCTCCAACAAGTACTTTGATACGCCTTAAGTCGGTTTTAGCTTTGATGCAACGTCTCTAGTCTGCAAAATGTAAATATGACCATCGATAGCACTAATTGTAAGCCTGTTTAAGACCACGTGAAATCTTCAAAAGCATAGTTCATCTTTTTGTATAGTTAAGTTTAGGGAGTTCGGCAGCAGCCGCGTTCAAAGTTATAGCACTGAAATCTGTATACAAGAGGCCTTAGTTGTTTTAAATTGTAATTTAAAAAATAGTCACAAATCACTTTATACTACATTTATTTCACACACAAAATACCACAAATTATTAAATACTTCCACACAAAACTTTGGTAAGAAACACAAAACAAATAATTAGTACAGAATTATATTTTTGTATACAGATCAAAATCATTTCTTTAGTTAAATTTATTCATTTGTAAGATTATACATGACTGCAGTGCTATTTCTTTGACCGCGCTTGTACCAAGAGGTAAATAACACTGGGAGAGGGACTGGAAGTGGGATAAAATGTAACTAACAATCCTTCCTATATACATAGAAGATACTACTACTAAAAACTTAGTGTATGGTTCGAGCCAATGAGTTGAATTGAACAAATGCGACACACCTGTCCACACACATTTATCCAGTGCAAACCGACACACGCTCGCCCCCGATTCTAGGTGTAAGTAGGGTTTGGTTTTTCAGTTTTTGTGTAGTTTGTAGACCCATTAAAAATCCAGAGGTTCTTCTCTGCAAACTAATATTAAACCCGACCGGTATTTTACTATCTATGTACATGGCTTATCCTACGCTTAATCTACGCTATGACTATATTTGCACCTATTTGCTTATCAGCTAGATTGGCTGCTCCGCCCACATCTATTTTTTCACCTAGCCAGCGGCTCTAGCATCTCCAAAAACAGTTTCTTCATGGTGATAACCTCGTCCCGTGCAATTCCCCGCCAAAATCGTCGCAGGATATCGTCCGCCTGCCGCAGTGATGGGAGCAGGAGTAGCAGCTGTTGCTGGTGCGACACAGCCGACGAATGACGCAGCAGATAGACGACATCGTTCAGAGAATTGAGAATCGTGTCGCGGAAAGCACGTAGTGAGCTCTGATCATCCAGCAGAATGTCGCAATTGGCCAGCAATAACGCCTTCAACAGAAAATACTCCTCCCTGCGCGGCGATATCCTCTCCATGCGCTGGGCTATCTGCACGCAATGGTAATAGAACTCCGTATAGCCGCACTCTTTGGCCAGCAGCTCGTCCATCCAGACGTCCGTGGCGAAGCAGAGCTTTCCGTTGAACGGAAGCGATCGGAAGGTCAGTTGCAGGGTTAATATCTCCGCCCACGACACCTGTAGCAGCTTCATTTGATCGTTGAGCGGTAGATCGATAAAGCCTGGTATTTGCTTAGCCCAGCCAATAACGCTGACCAGTTCCTTGTCGTAGATGTCGCTCAGCACGCTAAGTATCTCATTGGGATCGTTGTGGTTGTTGTTCTGGAAAATGCAAGTCCCATTGGGTGGTGTGACAGCCGAGACACTGCTAGACTCCAACTTAACGCTGCCCGATGAGGAGGAGGCCTCATCGTTAGCACTAGTCGTCGTCGTCGTGTGCACCTGCTGTTGCTGTTGCGTCTGAACGCTCAGTGCATCCGGCTCGTACGAGTTCAGGACTTCCAGTATCTTCACATCACACAGCGAGGTTGTGTTGGACTGGTAAAGCAACTGCATCGTCTGGTATGAGTTGGACACTGGATTGCGCCGATACTTCTGCCTCCCTCCTCGAACTCGATCCAAGCGTACGCCCTCCTGGAAAGTGAGGAGAATGAGTCGGTTGAAGAAGCAAAGGTGGGACTCTGAGTTTTACCTTTAGCATACCCATGAGCAGACACTTTTGGAAGCGACACGCCTGGCAGGCCTTGCGCCTCCGCTTGTTTATCTCGCACTCGTTGTTCGCCGGACAGGTATACTCGATGTTCCCCTGTATGGTGCGCTTGAAGAACGCCTTGCAGGCCTCGCAGCTGGCCACGCCATAGTGGAAGCCACTGGCCACATCACCACACACCAGGCACAAGCGGCGCAGCTCATCCCGTACGGAGCCGGATCCAGTTGCGGCGCTGGTATTGCTGGCATTCCCTCCATTGGCACTATTTACACCTCCTCCTCCACCGCCGCCGCCGCTGGTACCGCTGCCTGTTCCACCACCCTTAAGACTATCGCCATCATTGCTCAGCGAGACGTTGTGCAGATCACAGGATAGGGAAGTGGTGGAGCTGCAGAGCTGTCTTTCCGGTGAAACCGATGGCGAGGACTTCATACCGTTGCTGCTGCCCTGCGTGGTCGTTGTCGGCTTCGAACTGGGACTGAAGCAGGAGGCTCCGCCGCCCGCGGAGGAAGTGTCCACCTCCTGCTTGATGTGCAAGATGCTTACGCCGTCAGACATATTCGAGCGTTGGCTATGTTGTGGAAGAAGAGGGATTGTTATTATAGAAACACTTGAAAATATGGAAAAGTAACTAATTGCAAAACATTTAAAGGTCCCAACGAGCACTTTTAAATTAACTCTCAGTTTTTGAACAATACATGGATCCGTTGGACATAAAAATACTCTCCGAAGAGCTTTTTTAAATTCCAAAGTACTATTACAACAAGAATTGATAAATAAAAAAAACAAGCAATTAAAGGGCTGATACTGTGGGAAACACTTAAAATTTCGTCAAATCACCGCGCGACAGAGATAGCATTTGCTAAAAGTCAAATAGTACGAGCTGCTAAACAGTGGTTCAAGTTGCTCCAACCCGGGGACACTGCGAATTCTAATTGTGCTTATCGGTGTTAGCTGGAGATTTGCCTACTGTGCGGACTTGGCGTACGAAAGCTGGTCACCGGAATGCCTAATGAATGCAAAATATAATTGTAATTGTAATTAAGCTGGGCTACAAAAACAAAAACGGCGCCGTGCAATGGGTTTCTGGTGGCGATCCCCAATTCCCGCTCTCTCGTACCCTTCTCCTTCGTAAAACTTCATCGTTGGGCGATGGAAAAGTACGGAACAGAACTAAACTGGAAGTGAACAGCGCACACGGAGTGCGATAACGGTACTGTGCGTGGAGTACCTTCCCTGGCTAACGGTACTACAAATCACGACGCACAGAGCTGACGCTGATAGCAAAAGACGACAACAACAAATTCAAAACGGAAGAGTAGTTAGGAAGATCGAAAAGAAAATGCCCTTTCCAAAATAGAGAAAGTCATATATGGGGTATACGGCACTAAATACATCATATTAAATACCCAGCATAATACTTGGCAATTTTAAATAACTTTTTAGCGACTCATTTGAATAAGGGAATATAAATATTAACAATAAATTATCGATATAAATCAGACCCAGTAAAGAGCGCCCAAAAAATCACACCACCCCATTGGTTAGGGTATAAAACGCGCGCTGGCGAAGACAATGGGGGGCAGTAGTTGTGTGTAGAGTAGCAGACGACGACGTAGACCAGGTTGCAGATGAAAGATAAGCACTGTCTGCTTATCAGCCGCCTGGCGATTAAGGCCCAAGGTGGGCCTGTCCGTATCTGTTTACATACTTACATAAAGTATTTTTGAGGATCTTTGTGTAATCAGCAGCGCTACTACTTCATGCGATTGGCAACATCAATACATATTGGTGTTGCCCTCCGCGGTTGTCTGTGTGTCTGTAGTATTTTGGTTCGATTCGAGCACTTTGTTATTGCTTTTGTTGTCTGTCTGCATCTTTCGAAATTCGAGTTTTGGAACTGCTCTCCGGCGCTCTGAAGTTTATTTTTAATAATTTGATCAATCTTTTTAGCTAGGCAGCGTGGCTTTTATTGCTTTCGAGTGGCGATTTATTTAATGCATTTTCCATAAGAATGTGCGATGCAGACAGCATCTGCATCGATTTTGTGCGTCCGGATCGGGATTTAGCATTCGGAAAGGCACTGAATGTATTTTGATTGGGGGCACGTCACATTCTTTGCTTTTTTTTATTGGCTACAGCCTGTTTTTGCCGGATTTTGTAGATTTATTTGCATATTAGGAAGATTAAAATGTAACTTTACTTTTTTTTATTGTGAGCCAGGGTGGCGAGCACTGCGACTAGGGATGTGACAAATTTACAATATCGATATTTTTACAAAATATATACAATAGCGATAATTTTTTGGAAAACGTGTAAGGGCTGGTTAATGCTCCCCATATGAGGCTTTATTGCGTTTATTTTCTGCGATTATACATTGTTTAGCATGCAGTCAATAGCGAAAAACAGCAGGAGGCGACGAAAATCGTGAAAAAGTGGTAATTTCATCGTTAAGTCTGGCAGCACCAATGTCTTGACCGCCTTTAACGTGACCAGCTGCAGTGAATGGTTATTTTCTTTTCTGACGTATTTTAGGAATTCAGAAAGGACCACACTGCAGATTGTAAAAGAACTAAAATTGCAATTTTAACAACAAATTGTGGGTTTCACTCGGGAAATGTGCAACTAAAAGGCGTTGGGTTGACGGGCAATCGACGCAGGTCACCAAACACAGCAGCAGCAGGCAACCAGAAAGGCGTGTGGGTGGCATCAAACAAAGGGGCGAATCAAAACAAAAACAATTGCGCGACAAAAAATTCCAAATATCATTAAATATTACGTAGCTTCAGTTAGTTAAACGCTGTAAGGCCAATAACAACAACTCGAGTGCGGTGTCCTGCAAATAGTTAAACGGTCGAACCAGAGGCGAGAAGCGCAACAAAGAGGTAAAAATAAACGATTCCCAGTCACGTAGGATTCGCCAGTGTGCGTGTGCCTCTGTGTTTGTGTGTGTGTGTGTTTTGTTTGTTGTTGTTGCTTTTATCAGCAGACCCATGCCCAAATAGTGTACACACATTCGCACTCCCACACATACACACCTCGCGCAAAGTTTGTTATTGTATTTATTAACATATTTATTTCTCGTCGCTCGCCCCACGCTTTGTTTGCGCCATTCGCCATTCCGTAATGCGCAATCCGAGTTGCCGTGCGGATCGGTGTTGCAATACCGCAGAAAAACAGTCGAAATTCTAATCTTTGTGTCCTCCAATCTGTTGCAGGATATTCAGCACCTCCCCATCCGACACCCACACTCACGCACGCACACACATACGGCCACCATGATGAGCCTGCTCGGTCGCACCGACGTGGATGCGGGGGAAGTGTTTGTCAACTTTAACCAGAACATAACGTAAGCAAACGGAAAACATACTGTGGATGTTGGTAAAAAGGGACAAAAGAGAAAGGGTCTTAAAGCAACGGAGCTCTTATGCTCCTGGAGAATGGACAGTCTATTATAAATTCTATGGAGACAATTTAATTTAGAAAGCCACGTAATTGATTTCATTGAAATTAAAACGTGTTTTCAATTAATTAATCTTATAATCCCTAGAACCCACCACGTAGAAGACAAAATATTTAAAAAGTAATTTCATTTAATAACAGCTCTTAGTTACTGTTAAATATTAAATTTGGAAATATAAATTAATCATTCGATAATCTCTTTACCCTTTCTCTTAAAAACTTGCTCCCTTAATCATTTCCATTAATGTTTATTTATTATAATTGTAGAATTCTGTCTAAATTTTTAATCCGCCACAGTTCTCTGGCCGTAGCTACGAGCGGCGGCTACAGTCTATACAGTCTGGGCTCCGTGGACTCGACGCTGGACAAGATCTACCACACAAAGAGCGATGAGCTGCTTCTTATCGAGCGACTCTTCGAGAGTTCCCTGGTGGCCATCGTTTCCCAGAGTGCTCCCCGGAAGCTGAAGGTGTGCCACTTTAAGAAGCAGAGCGAGATCTGCAACTATTCGTATGCAAACTCGATTCTGGCGGTGAAATTGAACCGCGAGCGCCTGATTGTATGCCTGGAGGAATCGCTGTACATCCACAATATTCAGGACATGAAGGTGGTGCACACCATCCGGGATACGCCATGCAATCCGCAGGGTCTGTGCGCCCTCTCCTCATCCTCGGAACACTGCTATTTGGCCTATCCGGGCAGCGTGACCGCCGGCGAGGTCCAGATCTTCGATGCCATCAACTTGCACGCCAAGACCATGATCCCCGCCCACGATACACCGTTGGCTGCGTTGGCCTTCAGTCCCTCTGGCACGGAAATTGCCACGGCCAGCGAGCGCGGTACTGTGATTCGGGTGTTTAGCTCCCAGGATGGCAGTCGGCTCTTTGAGCTGCGACGCGGTCTCAAGCGATGTGTGTCCATTGTTTCGTTGTCGTTCAGCACGTGCGCCGAATATTTGGTATCCAGCTCCAACACGGAGACGGTGCACATCTTCCGGCTGGATCGAAGCGCCACAGAGACGGCCGAGGGCCATGGTGGCAAACAGTCGAGCGACGACTGGATGGGGTAAGCGGTGTTGGATTTTACTCTCTATTTCTGTTTCTGCTTTTGTTTTTTCTGTAGGTAGTTTTTTGTATACTTACTGTGCGGTTAAGGCCAAAAGTCAATGTTTAAGGTGTGGGGTGTTCCTGTACACAATCGCTATTGATGTTTAAATCATTCCATCTAAATCTAGTTTAATCCATTTCGTCATTCATGGACTTACTTGGCTTTTTAGAAGCCGAATTTAAAAGACACATTTATTCACACTCTGATGTATCTATAAACGTTGTTATGCATTCACTGATCCATTCACATGTCCTAGAAGGTATCTTTTTATATAAATTTAAGTCAACCAAAATGAGATCATTGATGATATTTAAAATTCGAGAGAGAAATCTTAACAAATTTAATTTTTGAATGTGAATTGTAATTATTTACTTATCATTTTAAATTCCAATTCATTTAGACATGTTCAATATTTAACGGAAAGCATTGATGTGATTGAAAATCTGAAAGCAACTGGAATAAGTATAGGATACTTTTGAAATTGCATGGAATATCGAAGCAATCTTTGGGGGATTCTTTTTATCTATTTTCTTTAGTAGGACCTTTAATGATTTTTAAATTGTTTTCTTTCGTTTCTCGTCGTGTGTGGCATTTTGACATTTATCTATTTTTCTTTTCTTTCATTTTGCGAAACACCACCCGAAACACGAAACAACCAAACCAACCACCTCAACAACAACAACCACAACTCGAACCACTCACCAAAATCTACTCTCTCATGCAAGTTACTCGTTTTTTAGATTCTTGAGCAAAACGGTCACCAGCTACCTGCCCACGCAGGTGACCGACGTGTTTAGCCAGGGACGGGCGTTCGCATCGGTTACTCTGTCGGAGGCGGGAGTTCGCAGGATGTGCGCCATAACCACGATACAGAAGCAGCTTAGGTAAGTTCTTCAACACCTTTATTGGGAAGTGTCATAAAACTAATTCCCGAAATTTTCCATCACCTTTGCAGACTGCTAATTGCCTCGCAGGATGGATACCTGTATGTGTATTCCATACCCGCTGTTGAGGGCGCAGAGTGCCAGCTGATAAAGAGGCACGACCTGCGAATGGAGGATCACTATGCCATGGATATCAAAGGTGCTTAAACAGATTCGCTTCCCGCAAACACACCTCCACACACTCCACACATTCACACACAACATCCCCAAACAAAAAACCCACCACCAACCGAAACATATTCTCTAGTTGATTCACCTCAAACTTTAGGCCTTAACAGTGGCGTGAGCATTGGCGGAGCAGCAGGCATTCCGCCGGGTGGAGCAGGCAGTGCCGGAGGTAGCAGCGATGGCAAGTCAACGGCGGCGGCTACAGCCTCGTCTGGCGGCGGTGACAAGCCCGGTGGCTCCTATGCGTCGGCCGTGAAGGGAGACGAGCCAGCCGGCGGCGCCTCCAACTCCGCCTAGAAGGATGAAGAGATGCAGAGATGTTGGTAAAACGAAACTCACTCCTCAAAGTACTAAGGACGATGATGCTAAAGTGATTGCGATGATGCTTGGCGACTGGCGATGACGACGATAGTGATGATTTAGCGACGGTGGCTCTGTGGCGTCAAGCGTATTTAAGTAAATAAAAATAGGTCATAGACTTAATTTAGATCTTAACGTTGTCAGCGACGATTCTTCCTCGTTTTTTGTACCAGCAACGGCAACAGCAACAATTCCTTTGTACCGCCTCTTCCTACCCTCTACCCCCGAAGCAATTTTTTAGTTTTAAGCCCTCCCTCCTCCGTTCGGATTAGGAAATGCTTTTTGTCATTACACTCCTAAGTTAGTTGTTAAATAATTAATTTAAAGTGATTTATATAGATTTTCTTTGATATTTTGAGTTGCCTGCCTTTTTATATCAAAATAAACAACGGCCTTTGCAAATTACATTTATTTTTGCATGTATATATTTATTTTTGCCTCATCCCTTGACAATCCACCGAATCCATCGATCTCGCCTGGCTATTGTTTTCAAATCAAAATATCTTGGATTAAGTGAAACCCATACTCACATGTATTTAATCTTCAATTAGAAATCAAACATTCAGAAAAACGACAGACGAGAGTGAAAAAACACACAAAATTCGAAAATATCGGCGAGTGCGCGCAATGGAGGAACAATTTTCGGCATATATGATATAGGATATATTTTGTACAAAGTCAAATATTTTAGAACATAATATATATAAAAAAGAAAAGAAAACACATTTACAAACGGAACTCATACGCTACTTTATTGTATTCAATAAATTATTTGAATTAAAACAAAAGCTTCTTGCGTAGTTCAATATATTTGTCAATCGAAACTAGTTAACAAGATAGAGGTTACCTTAGAAAACAATATAATTTTGAGCGAATCTATTTAAATTATGGGTTTCCTGCCATTACATCGTCTATATATTTATTTCGAGAACTGTATTTGAAAATTCCAAGCTTTTAAAAAGGGCACCAACGGAAATGTTCTCAATTCCATAATTCCACTTTCATTGCAATTCTAGTGCGGTGGTATTTTAAAAATTTAGATAAGCGGTCACTTTGCTCTCGTGTAAACAAAAATAAGTGTTTTAGTTCTTTAATCGAGTGTTTTTAACAATAATTATGGAATTTTCCGATCTAGTTGCCTCTGAACAAATTCATCCAGATTGGGAAAGCTCGGGGCAAAGGCCGCTGCAAGAGGTATGCCATGTAAAACTAAAAAAAAAACTGATCTGTAAGTTATGGTAATACAATAAATTTATAAAGATATAATTCCTATTGTTGCATTTCAGGAAAATGTGCAGATGTAGCCTTTAAAATATTTGATAGCCCTCAAGAACTAATAGTACCTATTGCCGAAATGATATTCCTGGTTACAGGGCACCAAGTTTCGGAAGGGCATTCCTTTCCCAACAACATTTGCCGACCTTGCTTAGAGGATGCACTAAAGCCGTTGGGATTAAGCGGGCGTACCAAAAAAGCCACGAGTTCTTCTGTCAGCTCTTAAGAAACACGTCCTCGCCCATGCGAAGCAAATGTCTTACGTACAAGAGTTTCAAGCATCCGCATTGTCCCAAGGATTTTACGTTGACTTATCATAAGAGGATTATTGTAATTTAGAGATATAATTTAGAAAGCTTTAAGAAGTTTTTATAAAAACTGTAAGAAAACAGATAACGATTTGTTATTTAGTCTAGGATACATGCACATGCCGATGCGAACAGCTTTCGGGTTGCTTTGTTTGCCTTTTCTGTCTAACTCTTGGTTTTCTTGTAAGGCTCCTAGCGTGACAAATGGTCACAGTAGTCGTTGTCCCAACGCTCAACACATCACATCACACAATTTCAATGCAAAATTTTCCAGTCAAGCAAAAAGTTACGAAGATAGTGCCTCTTAAATATAAAAAGTTCTGAAAAATAGTTCATAGTGGAAAGCCAAAGTCAAAATATCCGAAAAAATTCTAATTTTGGGAGATCAAAATCGAAAGAATTTAAGAGGATTTGAACTTTCTCGGTAAGTAAACATCAAAGATGGCCAAGCACCTTAAATCAAATTCGAGTAATGCTTTCTAGACAAAGCATTTGTTTCAGTTGAACAAGCAAGAGCGTATCGAGTTGATCTCCGTAAAACTTTTTTAAATATTGATGAGCATTTATTCACTACGATTCTAAATCAAATTTAACTCATTTTGAATTTTACTTCAGTTTTATTAGTATTAAGCTATTGTTTTCTATAAGCGCTGCCATACACGGGCTCCAGTTATCAAACTCTTCTTTACCAAGGGTAAGTGGAATTCACAGATTCTTCTCCATAGTTTTCTGCTTTGCTTATACATTGCAAGAAAAGCCTAATGACAGGGGCTTACCGACGCGCCATACGTACATTAATTGAAAGGCTTTTTGTTGGTGTTTATTTAAAAGTGATTCTTCGCTGTTCACTTTCACTTCGGAAAATCACCTTCGCCGTCGTTAATCTCCCGGTCTCGTTCCTCACGTGGACTTCCTCTTGCCGGCCTGCAACCAAAAAATCATATTCAGGAAGAATGTGCTCATAGGCAGCGAGTAGTTTAAAAGTCGGTTATGCACATTAATTTTTAAATTCGGACAGTGTGGCCACAACTCTGAATTTTTAAATACCACCACATTTTTCGTAGTTTTCTAGTGAGATTACCTTTCTGAAAGGCGACCACACTGCCTACTGTCAAAGAAAGAAAAATTCACCTTAAAAGTTTTAAAAGCCAATCGACGACAGCAGAAGCAACTACAAGCAGAAAAAAGTGCGGAAACAGTTAAATATTTCATCAGTTTGTGACTAAAAGATATTAAGGAAATAATATATAAGAAGGACGCATCAGAAGTAAGTATTCAATAAATGAATAGTTGCTTTACCGTATTAAAAGGCAGTAAAAAAAGGTGCAGAAGTGCAGTTCAAGGTCTTCGCTCGGGTTTTTTCTCTTATTCAACCTTCTGCGTAATTCGAAAATTGTAAATTGGCACGCATTACCTATTTCCCATTGAATTTTCTTCAAAACAAAAACATATTTATAAATAAGACTTGCGTGTTTATTGTTTTTTCGCCAAGATTTATTGGCAATTGTGAAATACGCATTGACGCCATTAGAAAATTCGAGACACTTAACATACATGCATATGTGTATGTGCATATGTACATACATACATACACAGGCATTCAGATTTCATTGGTGAGTCAGTTTAACTAAATGCGACGACTTAGTTTCTACGTTATTAAGTTAACGCTAAAATTTAAGGCCACGACAGAAAATTTTCAAATTGCAATTGCTGTGACGTCAGCAGTGGATACATACTAAAAATAGGTGTACATGCATTCGATGTATGCATACACGGATTCACACATACACAGTGACAAAGCAGCGGAACAAAGGTTTCTCAGTTTCCCTTGTTTCTTCGTTTCTCCGTTTCTCTTTGTTTGGTTAATCGAGAAGGGGAGAGGCAAACCCGAAATGAAAGCACTTTGAACCCACAGCAGGCAGCAGGCTTTGACAACTACGTTTTCACCCCTGGGTCTCCCTTCTCAGAGTCAGCCTGAAATTTCAGTAATCGTGTGATTTTCTCCCAGGCTGATCTCTGTAATCTGATCTGCTTTCTTACTAATTTTCCAACTATAAATTTTACTCGCAGAATAATCCGAAATGCAGATCTTTGTGAAAACCTTGACTGGAAAGACCATCACCCTGGAGGTGGAGCCTTCCGACACCATTGAAAATGTGAAGGCCAAAATCCAGGACAAGGAGGGAATCCCCCCAGACCAGCAGCGTCTCATTTTCGCCGGCAAACAGTTGGAGGATGGACGCACTCTGTCCGACTACAACATCCAGAAGGAATCTACCCTGCACTTGGTGCTCCGTCTCCGTGGAGGAATGCAGATCTTCGTGAAGACTCTCACTGGCAAGACCATTACTTTGGAGGTGGAGCCTTCCGACACCATCGAGAATGTGAAGGCAAAGATCCAAGACAAGGAGGGAATCCCCCCAGACCAGCAGCGTTTGATCTTCGCCGGCAAGCAGCTGGAAGATGGACGCACCCTGTCCGACTACAACATTCAGAAGGAGTCGACCCTTCATCTTGTGCTCCGTCTCCGTGGAGGAATGCAGATCTTCGTGAAGACTCTCACTGGCAAGACCATCACCCTGGAGGTGGAGCCTTCCGACACCATCGAGAATGTGAAGGCCAAGATCCAAGACAAGGAGGGAATCCCCCCAGACCAGCAGCGTTTGATCTTCGCCGGAAAGCAGCTGGAGGATGGCCGCACCCTGTCGGATTATAACATCCAGAAGGAATCTACCCTGCACTTGGTGCTCCGTCTCCGTGGAGGAATGCAGATCTTCGTGAAGACTCTCACTGGCAAGACCATTACTTTGGAGGTGGAGCCTTCCGACACCATCGAGAATGTGAAGGCAAAGATCCAAGACAAGGAGGGAATCCCCCCAGACCAGCAGCGTCTCATTTTCGCCGGCAAACAGCTGGAGGATGGACGCACTCTGTCCGACTACAACATTCAGAAGGAGTCGACCCTTCATCTTGTGCTCCGTCTCCGTGGAGGAATGCAGATCTTCGTGAAGACTCTCACTGGCAAGACCATCACCCTAGAGGTGGAGCCTTCCGACACCATTGAGAACGTGAAGGCCAAAATCCAGGACAAGGAGGGAATCCCCCCAGACCAGCAGCGTCTCATTTTTGCCGGCAAACAGCTGGAGGATGGACGCACTCTGTCCGACTACAACATTCAGAAGGAGTCGACCCTTCATCTTGTGCTCCGTCTCCGTGGAGGAATGCAGATCTTCGTGAAGACTCTTACTGGCAAGACCATTACTTTGGAGGTGGAGCCTTCCGACACCATCGAGAATGTGAAGGCAAAGATCCAAGACAAGGAGGGAATCCCCCCAGACCAGCAGCGTCTCATTTTCGCCGGCAAACAGCTGGAGGATGGACGCACTCTGTCCGACTACAACATTCAGAAGGAGTCGACCCTTCATCTTGTGCTCCGTCTCCGTGGAGGAATGCAGATCTTCGTGAAGACTCTTACTGGCAAGACCATTACTTTGGAGGTGGAGCCTTCCGACACCATCGAGAATGTGAAGGCAAAGATCCAAGACAAGGAGGGAATCCCCCCAGACCAGCAGCGTTTGATCTTCGCCGGCAAGCAGCTGGAAGATGGACGCACCCTGTCCGACTACAACATTCAGAAGGAGTCGACCCTTCATCTTGTGCTCCGTCTCCGTGGAGGAATGCAGATCTTCGTGAAGACTCTCACTGGCAAGACCATCACCCTGGAGGTGGAGCCTTCCGACACCATCGAGAATGTGAAGGCCAAGATCCAAGACAAGGAGGGAATCCCCCCAGACCAGCAGCGTTTGATCTTCGCCGGAAAGCAGCTGGAGGATGGCCGCACCCTGTCGGATTATAACATCCAGAAGGAATCTACCCTGCACTTGGTGCTCCGTCTCCGTGGAGGAATGCAGATCTTCGTGAAGACTCTCACTGGCAAGACCATTACTTTGGAGGTGGAGCCTTCCGACACCATCGAGAATGTGAAGGCAAAGATCCAAGACAAGGAGGGAATCCCCCCAGACCAGCAGCGTCTCATTTTCGCCGGCAAACAGCTGGAGGATGGACGCACTCTGTCCGACTACAACATTCAGAAGGAGTCGACCCTTCATCTTGTGCTCCGTCTCCGTGGAGGAATGCAGATCTTCGTGAAGACTCTCACTGGCAAGACCATCACCCTAGAGGTGGAGCCTTCCGACACCATTGAGAACGTGAAGGCCAAAATCCAGGACAAGGAGGGAATCCCCCCAGACCAGCAGCGTCTCATTTTTGCCGGCAAACAGCTGGAGGATGGACGCACTCTGTCCGACTACAACATTCAGAAGGAGTCGACCCTTCATCTTGTGCTCCGTCTCCGTGGAGGAATGCAGATCTTCGTGAAGACTCTTACTGGCAAGACCATTACTTTGGAGGTGGAGCCTTCCGACACCATCGAGAATGTGAAGGCAAAGATCCAAGACAAGGAGGGAATCCCCCCAGACCAGCAGCGTCTCATTTTCGCCGGCAAACAGCTGGAGGATGGACGCACTCTGTCCGACTACAACATTCAGAAGGAGTCGACCCTTCATCTTGTGCTCCGTCTCCGTGGAGGAATGCAGATCTTCGTGAAGACTCTCACTGGCAAGACCATCACCCTGGAGGTGGAGCCTTCCGACACCATCGAGAATGTGAAGGCCAAGATCCAAGACAAGGAGGGAATCCCCCCAGACCAGCAGCGTTTGATCTTCGCCGGAAAGCAGCTGGAGGATGGCCGCACCCTGTCGGATTATAACATCCAGAAGGAATCTACCCTGCACTTGGTGCTCCGTCTCCGTGGAGGAATGCAGATCTTCGTGAAGACTCTCACTGGCAAGACCATTACTTTGGAGGTGGAGCCTTCCGACACCATCGAGAATGTGAAGGCAAAGATCCAAGACAAGGAGGGAATCCCCCCAGACCAGCAGCGTCTCATTTTCGCCGGCAAACAGCTGGAGGATGGACGCACTCTGTCCGACTACAACATTCAGAAGGAGTCGACCCTTCATCTTGTGCTCCGTCTCCGTGGAGGAATGCAGATCTTCGTGAAGACTCTCACTGGCAAGACCATCACCCTAGAGGTGGAGCCTTCCGACACCATTGAGAACGTGAAGGCCAAAATCCAGGACAAGGAGGGAATCCCCCCAGACCAGCAGCGTCTCATTTTTGCCGGCAAACAGCTGGAGGATGGACGCACTCTGTCCGACTACAACATTCAGAAGGAGTCGACCCTTCATCTTGTGCTCCGTCTCCGTGGAGGAATGCAGATCTTCGTGAAGACTCTTACTGGCAAGACCATTACTTTGGAGGTGGAGCCTTCCGACACCATTGAGAACGTGAAGGCTAAGATCCAAGACAAGGAGGGAATCCCCCCAGACCAGCAGCGTTTGATCTTCGCCGGCAAACAGCTGGAGGATGGACGCACTCTGTCCGACTACAACATTCAGAAGGAGTCGACCCTTCATCTTGTGCTCCGTCTCCGTGGAGGAATGCAGATCTTCGTGAAGACTCTTACTGGCAAGACCATTACTTTGGAGGTGGAGCCTTCCGACACCATTGAGAACGTGAAGGCTAAGATCCAAGACAAGGAGGGAATCCCCCCAGACCAGCAGCGTCTCATTTTTGCCGGCAAGCAGCTGGAGGATGGGCGCACCCTGTCGGATTATAACATCCAGAAGGAATCTACCCTGCACTTGGTGCTCCGTCTCCGTGGAGGAATGCAGATCTTCGTGAAGACTCTCACTGGCAAGACCATCACCCTGGAGGTGGAGCCTTCCGACACCATCGAGAACGTGAAGGCCAAGATCCAAGACAAGGAGGGAATCCCCCCAGACCAGCAGCGTTTGATCTTCGCCGGCAAGCAGCTGGAGGATGGCCGCACCCTGTCGGATTATAACATCCAGAAGGAATCTACCCTGCACTTGGTTCTCCGTCTCCGTGGAGGAATGCAGATCTTCGTGAAGACTCTCACTGGCAAGACCATCACCCTGGAGGTGGAGCCTTCCGACACCATCGAGAATGTGAAGGCCAAGATCCAAGACAAGGAGGGAATCCCTCCAGATCAGCAGCGTTTGATCTTCGCCGGAAAGCAGCTGGAGGATGGACGCACTCTGTCCGACTACAACATTCAGAAGGAGTCGACCCTTCATCTTGTGCTCCGTCTCCGTGGAGGAATGCAGATCTTCGTGAAGACTCTTACTGGCAAGACCATTACTTTGGAGGTGGAGCCTTCCGACACCATTGAGAACGTGAAGGCTAAGATCCAAGACAAGGAGGGAATCCCCCCAGACCAGCAGCGTTTGATCTTCGCCGGCAAACAGCTGGAGGATGGACGCACTCTGTCCGACTACAACATTCAGAAGGAGTCGACCCTTCATCTTGTGCTCCGTCTCCGTGGAGGAATGCAGATCTTCGTGAAGACTCTCACTGGCAAGACCATCACCCTGGAGGTGGAGCCTTCCGACACCATCGAGAATGTGAAGGCCAAGATCCAAGACAAGGAGGGAATCCCTCCAGATCAGCAGCGTCTCATTTTTGCCGGCAAACAGCTGGAGGATGGACGCACTCTGTCCGACTACAACATTCAGAAGGAGTCGACCCTTCATCTTGTGCTCCGTCTCCGTGGAGGAATGCAGATCTTCGTGAAGACTCTTACTGGCAAGACCATTACTTTGGAGGTGGAGCCTTCCGACACCATTGAGAACGTGAAGGCCAAAATCCAGGACAAGGAGGGAATCCCCCCAGACCAGCAGCGTTTGATCTTCGCCGGCAAGCAGCTGGAGGATGGCCGCACCCTGTCGGATTATAACATCCAGAAGGAATCTACCCTGCACTTGGTTCTCCGTCTCCGTGGAGGAATGCAGATCTTCGTGAAGACTCTCACTGGCAAGACCATCACCCTGGAGGTGGAGCCTTCCGACACCATCGAGAATGTGAAGGCCAAGATCCAAGACAAGGAGGGAATCCTTCCAGATCAGCAGCGTTTGATCTTCGCCGGAAAGCAGCTGGAGGATGGCCGCACCCTGTCGGATTATAACATCCAGAAGGAATCTACCCTGCACTTGGTGCTCCGTCTGCGCGGAGGAATGCAGATCTTCGTGAAGACTCTTACTGGCAAGACCATTACTTTGGAGGTGGAGCCTTCCGACACCATCGAGAATGTGAAGGCCAAGATCCAAGACAAGGAGGGAATCCCTCCAGATCAGCAGCGTCTCATTTTTGCCGGCAAGCAACTGGAGGATGGACGTACTCTGTCCGACTACAACATTCAGAAGGAGTCGACCCTTCATCTTGTGCTCCGTCTCCGTGGAGGAATGCAGATCTTCGTGAAGACTCTCACTGGCAAGACCATCACCCTGGAGGTGGAGCCTTCCGACACCATCGAGAACGTGAAGGCCAAGATCCAAGACAAGGAGGGAATCCCCCCAGACCAGCAGCGTTTGATCTTCGCCGGCAAGCAGCTGGAGGATGGCCGCACCCTGTCGGATTATAACATCCAGAAGGAATCTACCCTGCACTTGGTTCTCCGTCTCCGTGGAGGAATGCAGATCTTCGTGAAGACTCTCACTGGCAAGACCATCACCCTGGAGGTGGAGCCTTCCGACACCATCGAGAATGTGAAGGCCAAGATCCAAGACAAGGAGGGAATCCCTCCAGATCAGCAGCGTTTGATCTTCGCCGGAAAGCAGCTGGAGGATGGCCGCACCCTGTCGGATTATAACATCCAGAAGGAATCTACCCTGCACTTGGTGCTCCGTCTCCGTGGAGGAATGCAGATCTTCGTGAAGACTCTTACTGGCAAGACCATTACTTTGGAGGTGGAGCCTTCCGACACCATTGAGAACGTGAAGGCCAAAATCCAGGACAAGGAGGGAATCCCCCCAGACCAGCAGCGTCTCATTTTTGCCGGCAAGCAGCTGGAGGATGGGCGCACCCTGTCGGATTATAACATCCAGAAGGAATCTACCCTGCACTTGGTGCTCCGTCTCCGTGGAGGAATGCAGATCTTCGTGAAGACTCTCACTGGCAAGACCATCACCCTAGAGGTGGAGCCTTCCGACACCATTGAGAACGTGAAGGCCAAAATCCAGGACAAGGAGGGAATCCCCCCAGACCAGCAGCGTTTGATCTTCGCCGGCAAGCAGCTGGAGGATGGACGCACCCTGTCCGACTATAACATTCAGAAGGAGTCCACTCTCCACTTGGTGCTCCGTTTGCGCGGAGGAATCCAGGCTTAGGCTGAATACATTTCCAAATAAACACAAGATTCTATGCACCTATTTTTCAAATCTCACAATCAAGACAACAAGCAATAGATAACAGATTTCGGAGGGAGGCCCATTCAAAATTCTAAATTCCAGTACAGACCTAGATTACTTCTTTAGTTTATCCTTTACCTTATATATAAATCTAAATTCACCTTTCAAATCACAAATACACTATCCAAATAAATTGCATTTGTTAATTAATTTTGATTATTTAAATTTAGTATTTTTTGAGTCTTAAATGTGGCTGGAAATCAAGCTGAAAATACCGAAATATACCAACTGGCTTTGCGTGGCAGCCCTGGCTTGTAGACATGCGTTAGTGCATTTTCTCTATTTACGTTTCACCAAATAAATATTTTGTTTGCAAATTAAATTGTTAATAATGGCGAAATTACTGCAACGCGTGGAAGTTACATTGCGTAGCCTTTACGTTTTCAATTCCAGCTTCGGGGAGCGTGAAGGCGAGGTGAGTTTAGTGGTTTATATTGGCCAGAAACGCCCCTAAATGAGTAAATATTTGCAGGAACACAAGAAAATTTTGTTCTACCACCCGGATGACATTGAATTGAATACAAAAATCAAGGATGTGGGACTTAGTGAGGCTATCATACGGTTTACAGGGTATTTAATGGACTTTGGACTCTCTTGGGAGCACTACTAAAGATTGTGCTTTCTTCCAGGACTTTCACTTCGGAAGACGATTGCCAGGCTTTGCACACCCAGAAAACCACTCAACTGTTTTACCAGCCCGAGCCAGGATATTGGATGGTAATGGTGCTCAATGTGCCCAAGGAGGTGCGCCTGAAGGAAGGCGTGGAGGTGAACGACTACCGGGGAGCGGAGATCTCAGACAGGATCTACAGAGCGATCCTAAGGCAGTGCTATCGAATGTTTCGCCTGCAGCACGGTACCTTCGCAGCACACGCAATCGAGGAATCGGATGCCGAGAAGCGAAGGGAACTGCTGTCGCAGGAGCTGCGCTGTTTCTACCAGAAGTATCTCATCCGGGATCTGAAGGATCTGGCCCACTGTGATATCATTGACATGCTCCATTCCATACAATATATGCCGCTGGACAAATCCCTCTTTCTGCGAGCCCAGAATTTTGGAATGCTTGCCGAAACCTTTCCGGTCATCAAGCAGACAGTTATGCTCTACCAGGAACAGATCCTTTGCGGGGGAAAGCTGCAGCCGGAGGATCTCTATAGCCTGCACTCATATATAGTGCAAAACGTCCTGAAAAGAGAAGAAAGCAGCTCTACCTTGGCTGTGAGCCCCTCGCTCAAGCGGAGCATCAGTGAGAGCCAGGTGCCAGGATTTGTGCGGCAACTAGATGAAGGAGATGAGGAGACGGCGCTGGAGCATCCCCTGAAAGTCTATGTCAACGTGGAGAAGCAAACGAAGACGTATTACCTGCTCATCTATCGTGTCCTCCACATTACGCTTTGTTTGTTCTTGGACGGTGGGTTTGAATCCATTGTTTAATTACTTTCAAGAACTTTTCTTTTATGCCCTTCCAGCTGACCAACCTGCCCCCAAACAGGAGCTCTACGATGAACTTAACGCATATTTGAGGGGCCAATTGACCTCGCTGGCCCGCGATATAGCCACCGAGCTGAACAAGGAGGCGGTGGGCTCGACCGGCGGTCAAGATAACACAAACGGCAGCAGCAGCGGCGAAACGGCAGCTAAGTACTTGTTTATTAACGAACAGAGCCTGCAGCATCATACGAACATGCAGCGTCACCTGCCCCAGGGGATACCTCGCAACGTACTAAGCATTATTGCGGACCTGGCCAATTCCAGCGGTAAAGCGGACAACCTGGACAGTGCGCCTGCCGAGGAGCTGCAGGTGAAGACTACCAACGATTACTGGATTGTCAAGAGGCGCTGCAACTTCCGGCAGTACTATGTGATCCTGTGCAACAGCAAGTTCACCCTGCTAGACGTGACCCAGGAAGCAAGGCGGATTTTCGAGCAGGAGCTCACAGATGATGTATTCTTTGACAAATAAAGAGGAGGATCAAATACAGGATGGGGGTGCGCCAATTATGGGCCCTGGGTGGCCCATTACCACCCCGCTGCCAGCAGAATCGGCAAGTGGGCGGTCGAACATCCGAGTTTGGGTTTCAAGCCAGCACCGCCCCAGTGTCTGAGGCATCGTTATACACGCTGTTCGATGAGGAGGAGCTGGTCGTCGCAGTTGTATTGCTACCGTTCTGGGATCCACTGATTTTCACAATGTATATTCGACGATTGGACATGCAGATGCTGTAGTAGTACTCCTCGTAATCGATGGTGATCCGTTCGCAGCTGCTATTCGCCATGAAGGACTCGTCGATGCTGGAATTAAAACGTAGTTGGGTTAAAACAAAAGAATGACTTATTTATCAGACTTAGCCCACCTCTCGGTGAGATTGAGCAGTCCCATTATCACATTAGCGCTGCGCTCGTCATTCTTCAGCTCCCCGCCTGATTCCAGAACAGCGCCGTCGTCCTTCAGTACCAGGTAGCCAATTTGATTAGGCACAATCGATCTTTCCTTGTCCATTGCTCACAAATATTTTACTTTATTTATTTATCTTTCCTACACCCCAGGCTCAGTGTGACCAGTTGGATTATTTGGAAAATGAACACAAACGAAAATGGCAACTGGTCCCACCGAAAGAGAAGATTTTAAATTCATTTGCATACTTCTTGGGTGTACTATATATTGCCAAGAGTATCTAGCATACTTTTATGCGGTAGGACGAAATGCACAATATTCACCTGCTGCTGGCTTCTGTTCGCCTGGTGCATGAAACCCAGCAGTTGGCAAATTTGTAGTGCAAACGATCGGCTCTCGCCCAATAATAACAAGAAAGGAAAACAACTTTCTGAAGCCGAAATTGCAGTTTTTAATTGAATTTTAGGATGTATATGACTTTTAAATGTACATTTGTGTATTCTTGGTATTAATCAATATTTTTTGTATAAATTAATACTTTTCAAATATCATAACTAAGCCATAATTCATGCTAGTTTTAACAGTGTTAACAAATCTGCATACTAGGTTTTAAAATTAAAAAAATTTACATTTTTTGTCAAATTTTAACAATTTTCACAATGTCACCCCTTATAAAATTTTGAAAAAATTTCAAAAGTTTAATTTTTTCCCGGATATGGCTAGATCGATTCGGATGTTTGTGCTGATCAAGAATATATATGATTTATAGGGTTGGAAACGATTCCTTCACTGCGTTACAAGCTTCTGACTGAAATTGTAATACCCTTAAGTTAAGGCTATTAATTTTTAGTGTTTGTAGATATACTTAATACACTTTAAATTAAAATTAAGTAATAGGGTCCATGACAATAAGGGAAAAATAAGAAAATAATTCTTCCTGGTTGTCCAGATCTATTCCATTGGTCAGGTAATATGTTTGGGGTCGAAGGGTATGCACTATCACTGCCACTATCACTATAGATGTAAACACCGGGGAGGCCGCGGACAGACTGATGGCCGCGCGAAAGCAAAGCCTCTATTTATACTCTCAGAGTTATGAGAATAGAGAAAGTGAGAGCGGGGGAGAAAGAGAAATGCAGAGAGTTAGAGAGAGAGTTATTTCTAGAGGTAGGCGCAGAGAAATTGAGAGAAAGATAACTCTACAGCTACACAGAGAAAGCTAAAGGTAGTTCCTATCGCAGCTATATGATATAGTCATCCGATTTTAATAAAAATTAATTTAATTAAACCAAAATTATAAAATAATACAAAATGGCTTTATCTCAAATAAGGTGAAAATAAAAAATTAAAATTAAAATACCCAGCAAGGGTATAATAATGACAATAAAAATAATACTATCTGCAGATTCAGATGTCGCCACATCTTTTTTGGCTCCTTAAAAAAATCAAAATAATACAACTTCCCCAGAATACAATTAAATTAATGCAGTTTTTTGTTTTTGGTTTAAAAACTGTTATATTCTTATACTGTTTTACATTTAGCATAGAATTTCAAACACACATACACACACTGAAACTGATGCCGACTGAATTACAATGCATTTTATTTAATTCTTTTCTTTTATTTTCTTTTTGTTTATTTAGCTTAAATAATTATGAATTTCTCGCCTGCTTGTTTCCACTTAATTGTTCTCCCTCTTTTATTTTTATTTTATTATTAAGTTTATTTTGCTTGTTTTGTAATTTCATATTTTGATCACATTTTGATTTCGCATGCCCAAAGTGAATTTGGTTTGTGTTCCGAATGATTCGCCTGAATGTGTAAACCTACAACTCCTTCGCTCTGTCCGTCCGATAAATCAAAAATATATATATATATATGTATATGCTTTAGTCGTATGTTTAGGGATTTATGCAAGCCTCTGCTCCTCTGTCCACTACCTCTGTGTATATATGCTAATATTCAGTCAATATTATATGTTCATGTTGGCCACTTTGCTCGGGAAGAGCTCGGGGCTTTCAGTGGAGGATCGATCGAAAACCTGAAGATCTGTCTGCGTCTGCTCTCTAATGGGAAGAGTATATGTTAGTATCGGTTTACCGAACATGTTATTACCTTCAAATGTCATATATAAAGTATGTACAAGTTACTATTTGGAGTTTTCGATGTATGTTTGCTTTTTGTTTTTTGTTTGGAAATCAAAAACAGGAGACGTGATCATGGTATTATATGCGATCTCAACTAAATAACAGTACTAACTTCGTATCGGAGCTGTAACATGGATAAGGCATATGGAGGATTTAATGTAAAATGTCGGAATAATGATCATAGAATGATACTTGGATTATGTGTAGATATATAGCCCAATTGCACTGGCACATGCTTTCACAATTTGAATGTAGAATGTAAGATCATATGCCAGAATGACAATTAGGCTATATAAACTGTTGTGTAGGCTGGCAATATGTATGCAAGAATTTGTGTAATTTGTTTTCTGCAATTTATTTTATATACCCTAAAAAATTTGTTTACAACTAAATACTAATGCGTATGCTTAAAATTGATTAAAAAATATAGTATTATTATTTATATATTTATAATTATATAGGTTTTTAGTCACGATGCTATTATAAAAACTAAATAGAATTGTACGACAAAATTTTGGTGGCTGAACGGAGAGGATCATCAACCCAAAAGATGTGTGTGTGTTTTAACAATTACAAAATGTTTGCTGTGTGTAAATGTGGTATTTGTTGTTACTTTTGTACGCCCCTAGAAAAACGGGGCAAATCTTGGCTTACTAACTAGGGATTTCTCAATATATTAAGACATATTTAATATTCAATTACTAGGAGAGCGTAAAAACGTGGCATTCATTTATCATCTGCTATTTATATGCGTCTTGTTTGCTGACAAAATAATCGAAACGTAAAGGAAAAAACTACCAACAATTACTGTTTCTTTCATTCTTGTATAATTAATTGTATAATTATTGTTTACAAATAGCATAATTAGATTAATTACGTGTATATTTGATGTTTTTTCCACCTTCTTTCTTGCTCTTTTGTGTTTATTCTTTTGTTTTTTTCGTTATTGTTTGTTGGTTTTGTTTCTTTTAAATTATAAAATTAACTAATCAAGAAAACCATAAAATTAGTTATTTGTGTGGTTTTGTTGTTGCTGCTGCTGCTGCTTATGTTTAACGTTTATGGGTTTATTTATTGTTTAGTTTGACCTTTTAGGCCTTCCAGTTGTTCTGGCGACTGCCACTGGCACCGCTCTGCTGCTGTGGAGGAATCATCTCCAGCAGATATTGGCGTTGCAGCTCCGCCGCCCGCTGCACGTCCGCCATGCTGCTGGCGCTGCTCGAGTTCTTGGACGATCCCGAGGAGGAGCTACTCTTCTTGTTGTTGTTGTTGAAGGCTGCATAAAAGTGAGAGAGTTACATGAGTAAATGTCTTGGGAATATGTATGATTAAGGTATATCTCACCAGCCACTTGGGCCGCCTGCGCCATGGCGACCTGATAAGAGTACAAAAGCGGAGCAAACTGCATCATATGCTGGGGATTGGCACCAAGACCTTGTCCCAAAGCTAATAAAATAATAAATTATTAAAATATATAAACATAAATACACAAATTAAGTAAACTCACCTCTAAATAGCTGCTGCTGGAACGCCTGCATGGCTGCCGCCGTGGCCGCTGGCGAGGAATTACCCAATCCCGAGGCAGCCGCCGCCGCTGCATTGTTCGAGGCCGAGCTGGCTCCACCACCAAAGTTGCCCAGGCCGCCCAAGGCCGCCAGATTGCCCAGCTGGCTAAGGTTACCCAGATTGCCGAGATTGCCCAGACTGGCCAGGCTGTTGAGGTTGAGGCCGCCCATGCCGCCGAGGGCACTGAGATGAGCAGCCGCCGCCAGCGTGGCTGCCGAGTACTTGTCATAGCTCTGCGCCTGCTGCTGCTGCTGCTGCTGTTGCGTCTGCTGATCCCGTTCCCGCTGATCGCGTTGCTGCTGCTGCTGCGACTGGTGGTGATGATCGTGGCGGTCGTTGCGGGAGGAACGAGACGATGAGGCCGCCTCGTGATGATGCGCTGCCGTTGGCCCGGGACTAAGGATACCCGCCTGCTGGGCAGCAATGGCAGCAGCGGCGGCGGTTGCTGCCGCTCGCGAAGATCGCGACGTGCCCGACGATGGCGGCGGTGTGGGTTGACTCTGCGGTGGCGGAGGCGTTGGACGCGGTGTGGCTGGCGTTGGTGTCTGGCATTTGGTGGGTATAACCGTCACCGACGGCGGCAGATTGACCAATGCGGCAGCAGCCGAAGCATGCGTCGCCTGCAATTGTTCCCGTTCCCTTTGCATATGCGACGACGAGGAATTGGAGCTGCTTACAGCGGACACGGATAGCGAATTGCTGCTGCTGTTGTTGTTGTTGCTGCCGCCACTCGAACCATGATTGTCCACCGGCGAGGGACTGCTCTGGCTGGCCAAGCGCTGCTCGATTTCCTGCTCCTGCTGGAGGGCCTTCACAAACGCCTGTTTCAGTCGATTGGTGTGCTCCGCCTTCAGGGCCTTCTTAACATTGGAGGTGACGCACTGCTCGCAGATCACCTTGGGATCCTTGTTGGCTACGGAAGGGATAGGGAAAGCATTATAATTATTGTTTAATATCAAGGCATTAGGTGACTAAATTGATAGGGAGGCTTGTCTCCCCTTACTTACTCTGCTTTTCCCATTTCCACACAGGTGTAAAGTCAATCTTGCACTGGGCACAGCGGAAGGGAGCAGCCACGGCATTGGCCTTCTTGTTGACGGTCAGATAATCGACCACAGTCTCCAGGCCCAGAAGATATACAAAGTCCGTGTTGCTGGGATTGGGTATGAAGTGCATCTCTGGCGGTGGTGGCTTTGGTGGGGGAATCTTAACAGGGATTTAAAAATATAATAATAATTATTATTTATTAAATTATTTACATGTGTTTCTACACTTACCTGCAGCAGCGTCTTTTCCAGCTGCTTTCGCAGTGCCATCTTAGCTGCCGCCTGTCTTTGAGCGGGTGTCTGGGCGTCTTCTCTTGGCGTAGAGCGATCGTTCTATGGTAATAAAATATTGAATTATTTTAATTGAAAACAATTAGGGTAATTATTGGACTCACCTTCAGCTCGTTGAGCTGATTCTGATGCTGTTGGGACAGTGGTGGCGCCGGTGTGATGGAAACAGAATTGCTTATGGTCCCAGGTACCTTCGAATTATCCGAAATATTAGGCTGCATGTTTCAACGAATTGTTTTTTGTTTTGGTTTTTTGTTTTTTTATATTAGGAATAGCAAATACAAATACGAAATAGCAGAGAGAGGCAAAGTTACGTTTAGTCGTTGGCTGATTTTATTCAATGTTTTGAATGAATGCGAGAAATGATGGAATATTTAGTAGTGCCACTTGCTCGAAGCCTCCTCGGTTTTTATTTTTTTTTGCTTTATTTGAAATATGTTTATATATTCCCAGACAGAGGCCGACTTCGGCTGAATTGACAGGTGTTAATAAGTGTTCATATAGTTATTAGTGGAATGTGTTAAGGGTGGAGTGTTGTAAATGTTATTTTCTATATGTTATCAGCAAGCAAGAACTATAAAAGATAACTGAACAAGTTTAAAATATTCAATAAGACAGAATCTTAAAGATGTTAATAAAATATATAAATTAGGAACATTATGTGAATTACAGTATACAGAAAAATCTGTATTGATTTAAAAACATACAAAAAGGTATGCTATACAATTCTGCAGGCTTTAATTTATATAAATTGTACCAAAGAAACTGTTACAATATTAAAACGACATGAAATTCGTTACATTAATAAATATTTCAACATATACTTAACAGCATATATAGATTATATTATATAAAAAAATTATAATTTAATTATTTTCAAATTTTGATTTTTGTTAACATATCTTTACTTTACAAATTCAAAGAAACCATTTCATTATACTATAAAACATATTTAATAGCTCAAATGTCAACTATATTTATTAATTTTATAACAAAGTAAAATTCCAAACTATAATCCCTTGACTTTCTTATAGTTCTTGCTCCCTAAACACATAATTTAATTAGTTAGTTAATTTAATATGTGTTGCTAAGCGTGAGTTTTTGTTTCTTGTGTGATTTGGTGTGTCTCCAAGGACTGTGTTTTTGTAAATGTTTTGTAAATTGGTGATTGGTGAATTGGTGTACTGGTGGTGCTCAATTGACATAAAATAAAGGTGAGAGAGAAAAACTCGGCGCTTACGGCAACGATTACATTACAATAACTCACATTGCGTGCTTTCAGACTGGAGGGCGGCGCCGAGGTGGGCGTTATGGTCACCGAGGGCGTGATGGTGAGATTCGGCAGGTTAGTGCGCGGCGGCAATGCGCTGGAGCGATGCGAGGCGGATGTGGCGGGCGTGATGGTTGTGCCGGCGGCCAAAGTGGCGCCCGGCGGCAGCGATGCCCTTGGCGGTGGCAGAATCGAGTTGCTCCCAAGACCAGAGGAGCCGCCCGAATTGCTGCCGCGCTGCTGATGGCCGCTCAATGCAGCAGCTGCCGCTGCAATGGCTGAGGCAGCCGCCGACGCTGTGCTTGAGCTGCCCGTTCGACTGTTTGTGGCGCTGCAATTAAATAAATTAAGAATTAATATACTGATTAATACTCATAGATATTTAAGTTCCTTACCTGATGCTCACAGCGGCTCCTCCACTGCCGCCCAGACTGCTCCTGCTGCCCTTGCTGTGGGCGGGCAGCGGCACCGCCGACGTGGGCGTGACACTAAGCGATCCCTTCGAGGTGAGAGCAGCGGGTATCGCAGCCAGAGGATTATTGGGCGATACACTGGTGGGCGTCACCACAAGGTTCTCCTTCATCACCTGCTGCGACTGCTTGAGCTTCTTGAGGAGCATCAGCTTGGTCTCCTCATTACGCAAATCCTGTCGCAGCTTCCTCAGGCTCTTCTCCCGCTCCTTGAGCTCGGCGTGACTCAGCTCCTTGATGGGCACATAGGGCGGCATCTCCTCGTCATCCGTCTCGGAATCAATGTTTCCATTCTGCTGACGTCCATTGGTCCGGGCGGGCAATAACACAATATCGGGAGCCTCGGCATAGGATTTGGGTTCGGTTCGTGGTCGCAGGACTCTCCTTTGCACCTTGTTCTCATCCTGACCACCTCCGCCGACACTGCTGCCACCGCCGCCTCCTCCCGAGGCGCCGCCAGTTCCTGTGCCACCTTCACTGGCATTATTGCTATTCGTGTTGCTGGTGGAGTTGCTGTTACTGCTGTTGCTGCTGTTTGCTGTGTTGCTGGTGGAGTTGCTGCTGCTGCTGGTTGTGGTGCTATTGGTGGTAGCATTGGTGCCATTATTAGTAGCCGGCGTTGGTGCTGGCGTTATGGTGAGGCCAGCATTATTGGCCGTCAGCGCTCGGAGATCCCGATTGCTTAGCGCCGCCGGTGACGGAGCCGGCGTTATGGTTAACGCCGGGTCACGGCCGGAGCCTAAACTCAAGTCGACCACGTCGTCGACCTCCATTTTGGCCATTTTCGCTCGTCGCGTCGTCGTGATTCCGTATGTTGGTTAACTGCAAGGATAAGAGAGGGATAACTTGATTAATAAACTATTTTTAATGACTAATTATCATATATATATAGAGAGAGATAAGTTTCTTTAAGGTTTTATTATTAAAAGGTAAAAAAGTTCAAGGCACCTTTGCAATTAGTGAAAAAAAGTCCTTTAAGCAAACAAAAAGCTGTCATTTTTTGTTCTCCCGTAATCAGACTCCGGATAGGGGTTAAGGGGGCGTGGCAGTGTGTGGCATTCGTGTTTCACCAAGGGTTGAAATTGGGTTTCCTCTTCGAAATATATATGTATTTATTTTGTTCTTCTTTTTGTCGTTTTTATGTTCCTTTTGAAAGCGGAAGTCCGTCCAAACTCTAGGGGTAGTATCTGTGTCTGCAGCACCTTTTTTTTTTTTTAACGCAGTGCGAATGTCTCGATTCCTGCTCCCCTTTTTTGTCCGTGCTGCGACATAATAAATATATCCTGATTTCAATTTATTAAGGCGACACCACGACGACCTTGTTGAGGAGGAAAACGATAGCCTCTCGAGAGGAGAAAGCAGCACTAAATCAACGAAAATCAACTCTGATTTGATCGCCAGAGATATGGGAAGGGGAGGGGCAAGAAATTTCTTTCGATTTAGCTGTGGATTTGAATTTCGGACTTGGACATCTCTTCCACAGGCGAATCCACGAAGCAAGTCACGTTTTCGATTTAACAAATTTTTTTTGCATGCAAAACCGCTGGTTTTGTGGCTGTGCAAAAAAAATGTACATGAAAAGCAAGCTCTAGGTGGAATGGGGCGAAACGTGTAATACAGTGAGACTTGGATACATAAAATGTAATATAATTATAAAAGTATATTCAAAAAATTGCGAAAATAAAAAATTAGGTAAACTAAATTTAATTTACATAAAAATCCTATAATGTTAATATTAAAATATGAAATTCTTCGTAGGCTTGCTTCACCGTATTTAGTAGTAGAATAACTAGCAGAGACACGAACCTGGCCAAAGCGCACACAAGCAGAAACACAGACTAACACATACACGGGCGAACAACAGCTACCTGACACGTGAGAGCGAGAGGTGAATAAACTTTTCAAGCAACTTAAGCGCTGCAGTAGTATATAAAACACAAACAACAAACGGCCGCAAACAACACACACAGCAATGGCAACAAACATTCACCTGCTGCTGGAGGCACACCAACAACAGACAAACAGTCAATAAAAATACATTTTAACCAGCGGCAGTCATAACCGTCACAATTAAGAGATGATAAATAAATGCAGCCCCCTCCTCCATCACACAAACAGGTGGCAACTCTGGCCAGACTGAACTTCGCCACTTGAAGAATCTAGTTTTTTACAGAAGAAGAGCGAATCAAATAGCATAATTACACAAAAGCTGGGGCAGCAAAAAAATAAACGTAGTAATAATAAAACAACAACTCCGCGTTGTTGCTGCCATAAATTAACTTGCTTTGAAAGTTAGCAGAAACACACACACACACGCGACCACGCACTCACACATAAGCGTGTGAGCACGCTTACTCGTTCGTTTTGCTTTATTTTTTCTTCTCCTCCATCTGCTCCTCTTTCTCCGTCTGCCCCCCGCCGCTCCAACCAGCTCCACCGCCGCCACTCTCTTTTAGCGGCTGTCGACGGAGTCTCGTTACTTTCGACACTTGTGTCGTCATCAGATTGCGCTGCCCGCCGCTATCAGAGCACAGTGGGTCGGATCGGCGGCTAATTTCGCCTTCGCGGGGTGTGCGAGCGATATGTGTGTGACACACAGCAGGAATATGGGAATGTGAACGGTGATAGTGGGCGATGATAAGATCAAGTGGCGTTACAGTGGTCGAAAGTCAATGGTATTTTGAAAAAATATTTATTTCCAAATTAATTTTAGCCTACAGTTGGGACTATCTAAATCCATAATTAAATATGATTTTATGCAATCTTTTATTTTTTTACTCTTTAATTAATTTTGAATATTAATTATTGTATTAAATATGAATTATTTATTAGTTGATACATTTATTCTTCCTTTTATAAAACTTTTCTATTAAAAGACTGAAAATGAGAAATTTCACCAATCCATCTTCATATTCTGCCCCACTGTGTCTTTAATTTGTTGGCCTGTGTGTAAGCGCGCTTGTGTGCGCGTTAATGCCCGCAGTCTGTGTGTGTGCTTTGATGATTTTCAGCTTTTTCTTATTAAATTAATGCAAACATTTTTAAACTTTTATAGATGCTTTTTAATGCTGGCGAGCATTATGCGTGATGATGCCGCTTAACATTCACCCACCCACCATCCCCCTCACCCATTAACCCTTATACTCGCCTCGCGTGGAATCTCTGTGAGAAAAAAAAGGCAGATACTTTTATCGATTTGTTGCGACGTTTGGCATTTTGTGTGTGACTATAATTGTGCTTAATAGCGCGCTCAATGAGTTTCAATTAGCGATTTTGCATTGTGCGATTTATATACATATGAATGAGTGTATGTTTGTGGGTCATTTTATGCCCAAGTTCAAGTTTAAGGGCCATTGGTCACCCGAAACAGGTACAATGCAAATGCATTACCTTGAGTAACGAAAGATGCCATTGGGGGAGACTTGTCATGCGGTCACTTAAGTAACGAAAGCAGCAGATGCACGAGAGAGAGAGAGTGGGGGTAACGAAAAACTTAGAAGCTATGACGACGACGCAGAAAATTAAAAAAAAAAAAAGCAAAAGAAATAAGGTTAAATCAAAAGTACAGTTGTGTACATAGCGGCGGCGAGCAGCAGCAGCAGCAGCAACAACAACAACAAAAACAACAACACAAACAAAAGCGAAGAGCAACAGCAAAGCAAGCAAAATGTGTTTGAGTGTGGCTGCGGTGAGAGAGAGCCAGAGAGCGGGCACGGGAAAGTAAGACAGAGAGAGAGGCGGCAGCGGCGGCGGAAGCAGCAGCAATAGCGGCTACGACGGCGGGAGAGAGCGAGAGCCAGAGCAGCAAGACGGCCGAAGAGAGAGCATGTCGCACACACGCGAGACGACATCAAAGAGTGGAGAGCAGAGGAGCAGAGGAGCAGAGGAGAGACGCCTTTTTTGGGGTCTGCCACCCACAGTACCACCCACTGCCCCCTTTCCCCCTCAACTCCATCATCAAATCGATTTGCATATTAGTTTGGTTATCAACCTTTCAGAAGCATAATGCGCCCATAATCTCCAACGATATCTCTCATCCTTAAACATTACTTAAAATGAACAAATTTAAAACAAATCTTTAAAAACACATGGCTTTAATCTTGTTTCTGGTAAAGATAATAATTTTTTAACTCTTAGATGCACTCTTGGGACCCACCCACTTCCTCATAATATATATTTTACTTAAAGCCAAGGAGAATAAATTGAATAAATAACTTTAAAATTTGATAGATAACAAAATTTTATTTATAAACGATTTCTGTATCAAAAATGTAAACCTCTAATTATATTAGTCAAGATTTTAAGAACCCCATCCCGAGACACCTTTAATTTAAATACACCTTGCATTAAAACCCATCAAGATATTAAAGAAAAACAAAAATAAAGAAAAGAATTATGATAAAAACCAAGTGGCAGCTTAGCAAATAAACAAACAAACAAACACGGGGGGGGGTTCGACAAACATATTTCTCGCTACGTTTCAGTTCGGCATTTATAAGAAATGCGCATATCTTATATCTTATGCCATTGTACATAAGCGTATTGAAGGGGGGTGGGGGTGGAGTGAAGTGGATATTTCAGAGAGCGAGCGAGAGAGAGAGAGAGAGCAAGTGAGAGAGCACGACTTGTTGTACATGGGCGGAGGTGGCGTGGCATGGCTGACAAGGGGTGATGGGCGGGAGTGGGGCTTGGCGACCGACCTTCGTACATATTTACTCATCCATGCTGGGATTTGGAATCACAATGGGTGGCAAGGAGAAGGGTGCAAGGGGGGTGCTCGAAACACACAAAACACAATCCCCATCCATCCATCCAATTCCAATTGCAGTCCCAACAAAACATTCTAAAACTGCAGCCCAAAAGTGATGTCATCGTAAACTAATGGCAAAACTATCGAATTGTATTTAATGTGCGAACAATTTCGCGAAAATGTTGGAAAGTAGTCAGCTGACAAGATTAAATTATTTTAGATATATATATATAGCATGTTCTTTTACACAAATAAATAGAGTCTAAAGTCTTACTTTACCCATTTAATTCCAATAACAACAATTAAGAACCCTGAAAACTTTGGATAAAACGCGTAGGATACTTGAGGAACTATTAGTAATTATCAATAAAAACAAACAAAAATTCATTGTAATTTTAATCAATACTTAAAAAACATAAGTTATTTGATTACACTTAAAGTAAATACAATTTGTTGTCCACCATTGACACCACTTCAATTACATGGCCCATTGTATCTCGTAGCTTTTTCTCGCAGCGTTTGTTTATTTATAACGACCGATAAGCAGCATTGAGCATTTCGCCAAGCACTCAAAACAACTAACAAATAACAAACAAACTCGAAATAAAAAAAACCAAAAATGTTCTAAATGGGTTAACTAGAACATTAAGCACAAATTAATTGCGTGCACTGTATAACAATTGCGACAAACGAGTGTGTGAGCTTTTGGGACAGAACAGAACAGATTCCTGACATATTCTGATTTGTATTTTGCTTATCACCAAAGGTATACATACTATATATTCCGAAACAGTTTTTTATGGCCCTGCTGAGTAAAAAAAAATACATATATACATTAAATCGCGGGTGGGGATACCTGGCTTGCTGCACAGCTGTTTTTCGTGCTCTTGACCAGTGTTGCCAACTAAATAAACAGTAAAATACAAAATACATAAGGAGCAATAGCAACAATGCAAAGACAAGCTAAAAATTAATGACTTTCAAACTGGTTTTGTTTACTGTGGAGGCCGCAAAAAAAAAAAAAAAATACAGCAACAGAAAATGAGAAGAAATAAGAGGACGAAGCGATGAA